CAATTTCTGCTTGAATCTTACGAATGTCTTCTAAACACTCCATAACATATCCTAAAGAATCAATATCCTTAACTTCCTTAGATAATTTGGTTGAATATTAATTAGTCAAATCAGTCAATTAGTCTAATAATTATCTTGCTCTTTTATGAAGATCTTAGCAATAGAAATTTTTCCAATCCTTTGCATGTACCTTCAATCCACTACAAAGATTTCCTGTCTTCAATTCCATGGCTCCAATTTTATGGGATGCTTCAATTTTATCGATTTCTTCTTCAATTGATGTGAATTTCTTCAAGGCATCTTCATAATCTTACAAAGTTGGATTCTTCTTACTGAAACTATTAATGTTATCTTAAATGTTTTCAGTCCACAACCATGAGAACTTCTTGAATGATGATAAGAAATCATGAACCTTGTTTCTTGTACCTTAAATTGAACCAGTCAATAACAAAATGACTTTTACAATTTCCTTATCTTGAGCAATCATCTCATAAAATGATCCTTTGCTTTCCTTTTACTACAGATTCCAACTATAGAGATCTTTAGAGCATCTCAAAACTGCAGTGGCTGCTCTATTGATTGCTTTCTAAATTTCATCCAAACTTGGATTCAATCTTACTTGATTATTGAATAATTGAACATCAACTTCAAAGAATGGTTTTAAGTTTTAAGTGCTTGATTATCCAGGTCCTTTCTTACCACAGACTCTGTATTTCATGGCATTGAGTGAGTTTTATGTTGAATTAAGTAATGCTTAATACAAATACCAGAAATAATATCTCTTGATTCTGATGGTTTCTGTAGGTTCAGCATAATCAACATGTGGATCTAATTTATATTCTCTAATGACTTAGAGTAAATCATCAACTGCTCTTTCGACTTCCAAATTCTTACTCATCAAATAATCTGTTTTGGTCTTTATGTATTCTTCCTACAAATTAACAAATTAATCTAAAGTCAAAGGCTTGCTCTCTTATGGTAAATGCACCAACAATACTTTACTAATATTTTTCAAATTGTTTTCAATTCTATTTTCAATGATATCATTTATTGTGATAATTAATTATTCCAATTTATTCAATCCTGCATGAACACTCTATAAATAACTATCAATATTCATTGAAGTCCAAGTCAATGTAACCATACCAGGTCTCAATTTCAACTCTAAATCTTCAACATGTGGACCAATCAATGTTTTGCAAATTGGTTTTATTTTTGAAATAATTCTTTCATATTCTTTCAGAACATAAAGTAACTCATTGTAATACATCTTAAATTTATCCTCTTATAAAAGAATGATTCTTGCACTCTCGGGTATTTCAATTCCTTATCTATCTAATACTTTAGCTTCTCTAATTAATTGCATTATTTCAACATCAAAGTTAACATATAATTTTTTGTTTTCATCATGTCTTACAATCAAAGTGGCTTATAATGCAGCCTTACTTCTTTCAATTTCATTTGACCAATTCTAATAATACCACATTTCATAGATTGTCAATTATTTACCCAAAGTGTTGTATCCACCATAATATTTCTTCAATTCTCCTTAATCAATAGCATTTTCAGGGAATTTAGTAATAGGTCCTGTAATTTTTAAAAATAGATGTCTTGCCCAAATGATCTTACCAGCCTCAGGTGGTATATTTCTAACAATAGGAGGACTTGATTTTTGATCAGTGAATATACGTTATATCTTGTCTAATTCTGTTGCATAGTTGTGCAATATTGTATTGTATTTAGATACCAATGAATTTTTCAATTAATCTCTCTTGATTGTTTATTCAAATTTCTTCAATAATTTAAGTGAATATTCAATAGTTCTCAATCTATTGAAATTATTATCAATAAATGATTGCAATTACATATCCAAATGGGATATTTCAACATTGAATTCAACCCAATCTCTATCAAATTTATTACTGTTTGTGTCTAACAAATCATGATTTTTGGCTTTGAAATCCTTAATGATTTAATTGAATTTAGCAGTCAATTATTCCATACCTTCTAGGTTGTGTTTAGCCAAAGCCTAGAATTATTAGATATTTTAAAATATGTCAATTAGTTTAACCAATCTTCTGACAAAAGTATCAAATTTACCAAATATCTATGTTTCTGGGAAATCGAATGTTTTACCTTTGGGCATATCAGCCACTTTCTCCTTAGTCTCTTTATAACTATCCTTGTATTCTCTATTGAGTTGTATACATTGTCTTAGAACTTCATTTAATTCAGAAGGATCTCTATTCCAAATTTCTTAATTCTTTCCTCCATTTAATATTCTCTCTTTGCAGTTCTTAATCATTTGATTAGTGATTTTGACAAACAAGCCAGTCATTTTGTCATTAGTGTTATAAAATCTAGCAATAGTATGAATCATCTTAATAGCATTCATAAGTGCTGGTAATGTGTCAATGATTTATTGTGGAGTTCCTTTGTACAATGGATCAAGGAACTTTTCCAAAGTTGAGAGATACTTCACATTGTCCTTGGCCTCATTTAACTTATCTGTCAACAATAGATCAAGTCTACTATATTCCATGATAAGTTTATTGATATTCTCTTCCCCTCTATTGGATGATTTATCATGTTATTTGCTTCTTTGGAGTGTGGTTTTCACAGTCACAAAGTCTTTGCCCTTTAATTATTCAGACCAGTTAGTGATTTCTTACATTCTTGTTTTCCAATAATTCAACTCAACCTCTGGACCTGCGTCTGGACTGTCCTTCTTTGGATTTTGATCTTCAGCTAGTTTATTATTGATGATTGCAATCCATTGGGCAAACTTTCTTTCATAAAATTGGTTTCTCTCTTATTCGTTATTTGAATTAACATATTTTTAAACTTCTTCAGGATCAAATTTGAATAATTCTTATCCAGGTCTCATTAACTTAACTGCCTCAGATACTTCCTAAGAGAATTTCTTTGTGTGAGTATGGAATTCCTTCAAAGATTCTTCGTCACATTATCCCCACTCCTTCTCATCCATCATGTTTATTATTAATGGATAGTACACATTTTCCATCACTGTGTGTAATTGAGAAATCGATTATGGTGAAACTTCTCCCCAAATGACTTAGTTATCGTATGTCTCATTAAGATTTACGGCGGTCTTTCCTTCTGGAGTCCTATAAAAAATTCATAAAGATTTAATTTTAAAATATAAGGAAGATGAAAGAATGACAAATGAATATAGACACTTACATTCTTAAAAACCAAATAGCTTTGTCTTTAATTTTTTCTTGATCCCCAAATTAAATAAAGAGAGATGGCTCATTTTGATTTTCCTTCATATCGTCTGCTTGCTAGTTGTCCTGTATCTGGTAGTAGATAATTATCTTTGAAGGACCTTATCCTTCTAAGAATTTCTCAAGTTTAACCTTGTCTTTTAGGAGGTCCTACAAAATAAGACTGAAATACTCACCTACACCGCTTGTCCATCCTTCAGCCTAAATGAGTCAGCTATCGTTTGGAATATCCAACGTGCTCTTTTACTGCTCAACATGTAACTGATATAGAAAAGTAATTAAATAAAATATTAAAAAATCAAATCCTCAAATACATCAGGTTATAAATATTCTCAAAATTGGGGCATTTAATACATTTTACATATAAATTATAATGATAAGTATACTAAGTGATTTCTCAATGTAGATATGCTTTCTATTCCATTTCTAAACGCATACTTACTCACAAAATCGTTAAATTTACCCATTTTCTATTTTGTTTTAAGCCTCTCACATGGTTATTGTGTAAATAAACACTTTATACCCATTAATAAATATATTTTGTCAACTTATCATTTATTTTTGTTTTCAAATTTAAAAAAAACATGGGTAATAATATGTATATATTTCTGTTAAAAATAATAAAAAATCCAAAATATGGTACATTGACATGCTCAAGGAAAAGGTTTATAATTGAAAATCGTAATTAATTGTTTTATATATGATATCAATTTTATTACTTTGAGGACTATTACTCATTAACTTAAAATTATGGAAATTCAACTTAAATGAGAGGAAACATATTTAAATTACTTGGTTCTTCTATTAATACCCAAAGAAGTTGACAAATTAATTTTTTCATTTTTAAGGCACTTTAATTAGGTCATATTTCCAATAGTTTATATATTTAGAAATTTATTTAAAACCTATTCCAAATCCAAATTACCAAAATGCTTCTAATCCTCTAGATAGACTATAAAAATAGATATTTATAGAAAAGATAAATTTTAGAAGGAAAGTATTCTTTCAATAAAAGTTCAAGATTTAATTTTTAATAGTCTATTTATAAGAAGGTCACATAAAATTATAAATATTAACAATATTTAACTACATTAATTCATACTAATTTTTATTAAATTCATAAGGTTTATGATATAAATAAGTTCTTAATATGTGTATTAATAATATATTAAATTTTTATTAAAGAATTTGCAAAGAAATTAATATTCATTTTCTTCTATTACTAAGCTTCAATTATACATATTTACATAATCAAACTAGTCACTTTTGCTATTTTGAAATAATTGGTCTCAAAAAATTTAGTTAGAGCATTAAATGATAATATTTAATTTAATTTATTTACACTTATATTCAAGATAAAGAAATATCTCACTAACATTTTGACATATTTTTTCTTCATTTTCTAATTAAAATACATAACATGATATGTGATGCAATTTCTTCATTTAAACAATAATTTTATTAGGTTCTATAAATTGTAAATTATAAACTACTTTGATATCCTCTTTTTTAAAGGAAAAGTAATACATCAAATAATAGTATTATCCTTATACTTATTAATATTTTCAATATTTTACAAATGATATTATTAATAGATGTATATTATATATGTAAATATTGTTTGATAATTGAATATATGATAATGATTAAGAATAATCTTTAATGCCTGATTTGACACTAATTGTAAATGTTTTCCTTAATTATAACTATTATTCATAAACAGTCGTTTAATTCGCCATAGAATTATAATTAATGGATATTGTTCTTTGGGGACTGTATGGAAATATCTACACAGAGGCATATGAACATTTTTCAGATGGTGGACCAAAGTGTTACTAAGATATGACAAACACATTTCGAATCTCCATTTCTACAATTTCTGCCATAATTTGCATTCTTGTGATGAGTAAAAATTTGATATGATGAAGAAAAATGCTGGGCCAAAATAGAAGTTTCGTAGGAGTTGACCAGAGCAATTGGAAAGAAACCTAGTTGTTTTGAGTATTTGGTTGGATTATTATGTTGGGGTACGTTTGCTGTTCAAACTGGATATAAGTTATATACAGGAAGGGGTAAATGTGAACATAACACAATTACATAGGTGTTTTTATGAATAACCCTTGTCATATAGTGTTATTGATGTAGGGATATGCTTTATTGACGACAAAACATAAATTTAGTGCTGTCATTTTTATATGTCATTTGAGGTGGCTATATGGAGTATTTGCAGTATAAAATTGTATTCTAACCTAAAGGCATTGAAGTTTCCAGTAGTAACAGGCTTGGAATTGCCCCTGGAAGTAGAATTATTTTGGATAGAGCATCTTATTGGGGCCTTTGTAGGTCCATTGGCCTTAACACTAGGTGGAAGGTTCTTCTTTTTTGAATGGAAAACGTTCTTTGCTCATCAGATGTTTGGATGGGACTCTCATATCCTTTATTAGAGAGTAAGAATTATTTGAAGTTTAGATTTACATGTTACCAATGTCATTGATGACTTGGGCTAATTTAAATTTTATGCTTTGTAGACCAGACCATGATCCATTTGTTCCATACATAGGAAATTGGTATTATGTGTTTTCGGAGATCTACTTAAACTTGGTTAGTGTAATGGCATTCGTAATTGTATTTACATTAACTTGGGTTTTAAGAAAAATCATAAGATATAAAGAAAAATAAGATTGAATCATATATCATACATTACCCATATAATTAATCATCTTCCTAAACTACATTTATGAGAGTCAGTTCTTCTATAGAATAATACATAAGCAGCCTCACTTTCTACATTAGATGAGGTGAGCCTTGCACTTGAATCATTGTAATCGACCCATTTGTTAATCAACGAATTGTAAGCACAAGCAGTGTAATGTCCACCTCCTAACCCACCAAAATGATTGTCTACTCCATACAATTCATAAGTATAGTCGATGGTGTCATTGTCTTTAACTTTTGAAAGAACAAATGGGTTTAAATTCAAATTTTTAGGAAAATGGACCATCGTCGTTATTTTTTGAGATCCGCCAGAATAGAAGAAGCCTCCATAATTACTAATTCTATTGTTTCCAGATCTGAATCTCTTCAAATGAACAATCAACAATTACGGAGCTCTGTAGATTTCCATCTATTTAGTAGCTTACACGTGTTGTTTACACTTGTTACAATACCATTCATTGCCTTTACCTAGGATTTCCTCCTTGGCAAAAGATCTTAAACAGTCCTCCAATGTATATTCCCCTTTTCTTAATTATCTATTTTATTCGATATTGAAGTCTTTGCATCTTTAGAATTTCAGATTATATAATTCCGATTTGCCAAAAAGGGGATTTAATATCACGTGAACTGAAAGAACTTTTGTATTGAAATTTTCAATTGGATCCTGATTTGTATGCTCCAAAGGCTTACCCCTATAAAGTAATTTGAAGAGATCAATTTTGAATTATTTGATTTCCTCAATGAATTATTCGATTGTTTCAGGGACACCCTAACAAAATTCCTCTATATTAACTCCTTCATTCAGTAATTGTTCGGAAAGTTCTTGGATAATCAAAATGAGATGGTGTTTGAATTGCTGATAAATTTTAAAGTAAATATCAATTATTTTATCTTTCTTGTTAATTACAAATTATCTCGGGAAGGTTAAGATCTATTCATTAAAATTTCTATCCATTCTGTTACAATAATAGAAATCAACATGAATCTGATCATCTGATAATTGATGGAACTCTTTTTCAATTTAATATACAAACAATTGTCCTTCATGTTCTTGGATCCATTTGACATTCTATTTCCTTTTAATTCTCTCCTTAATCAAATGATCTTTCAATAAAATAAAGTTCATCTAATCCTATTCTATATCTAATGCTTTCTATAATTCTTATCCAATAAAGTTGGCATCTTAATCACTCGTAAGATTTAGCTATATTTTTAATGGTATCTTCCCATTCTGGTAGATGAAATACAATGACAATTATATTAATGTATATGATGGAATAGGAAGTGACAGACTCATGTATGGATCAAATGTCTTCGAAACTCTATGACAATTTGGACAAACAAGAGTAGATTTATATTGACCCACCATCAATTATTGAATCTTGCTCTAATTTCTAAGAATGTAATTGTTCCAAAATATTCTAGAAGCTTCAAAATCAGTTTCATCTGTAATTTCGACTTCGCTAACAAAGGGTTTATTGAGAACTCTATTAAGATCTTCATGTAAACCATCCAATAAATAGGATAAGAATTCATGGGAATCCTATTAGCCATAACCATAGAATTGAGGAGCAAACTTGCCAATCACTTTTTTCAAATCATAAGCACTCACTGCTTAGTTATTCCCATACCACATTATTTTCATCAATTCAGCATAGGCTGTTGCCAAAAGACCTTTAGTTCCCAAAGGATTGTCACAATTCAAATGCTAATAGAATTCATTACTCACCATGTATTCAGTTAATTCGTAAGTGTTGCTTAAACATTATAAAGCAGCATTCATAAAACAAGTGTTACCTAGATTTTGTAGGCCAGTCACACCTTTACGAGAGTCATTCATAATTTTTGGAACATCAGACACATTCATTTTTCTCTTAAATGAGGATAATTTCTTTTTATCAATTTCACTTATTTGCCAATCTCTACCATATCTTACTTCACAAATAAATAAATCTGAACTTGTAAAGTTAATTTCATCAATCATCGTTGTTTTGTCTAAGACCTTAGCAGACACTTATTTATATAGTTCTCTTCTTTGTAGTTTACTTATGAAGTCCTCCTGACTCTAAAAGTCATTAAACTTCCACCATCTCACTTCATTGTTCAATTTCAATATTCTAGTCACTTTCTTACACAAATCTAATACCAAATCACTACTATTTGCAGTAATCAATCTGCTTCTATGCTTTTCTTCATTTGGTAAGATGATAAATTGGATCATTCTTGGCACTAACTATTCAGAATTACAAAATTAATTACATCCACATATTTTTAATGAGTCTAACTATGTTCTACTATGAGTCTTTTGATTTCGAATCCACCATAAATATTCTTAAAATATTCAAATAATTTATAGCCAACAAGTATAAAATCTGATCCTTCCCTTAAGTTTTCCTTTAAAATATAGTTCGTATACGATTTTGGACCAAAGGGATCCAATTCTAGAGTTGATTATACTTAAATCAAGGAAAATCCATTGATTGGACCTGGAGCATTTATCTATTCTTCAATGTCAAGATCACTTGAGACATTGAATAGATTCTTCAAGGCTTCTACTTCTTTTTCCATATTCAAGTTTTCGTTTGGTAATTCGATGGGTGTGCCAGTCACATAACTTTTCCACTTATTGAACCATCTTGTTGGTATTAGATATGCAGGCATGCCATCTTGTTCAAAATATCTAGTCTTTTTCTCTAATTCAGATAATCTTTCGTAAGTTTCAAGCTTTGATAATCAAAAATTCATTTACTTATTCTTCAAAATCAATACTTTTTTACTTACAAGCTAGCATGCTATCTAAATTATCGATCAAATACAACAATGCTTCATTTTATTTGATTCCTTGTGCATATTTCTTTAATTGCTTAGACCAATTTTTTGCTTGCTGAATGTTGTTTTAATCTATATACAAGTTGATTAAATCGAAAACTAGATTGAAATATTTATCGTCATCGATGTCTTCTTCACTCTATTCTTGTTTTACAATTTCTAAGATTTTAATTTGCAAATTCTTATATCTTTAACTTTGGCTGAGAATAAGTTGAATCAAAAAAATTGTATCCAATTAAGGATGTTTGATCTCATTTTTTAATATCTAAGTTAGATGCTTCAAGGCTTCAGCATAATTTTGGCGTTCAATTAATTTATAATATTCCTCCATTAGAAATTTTAATTAAATTACAATTCTCTTAATCAAAGTTTTTTGCGATAATTATTTATTTAATTTAATTTGAAAGTTTTAGTTCCCATCAGGATCAATATCCTAAAGGCTTTAGGAATGATTTACATCAATTGGGAGTCTTGTTTCTAGACGGATTTGTTCCTAAGAGGAATCAGGAAAATTTGAGGAGAAGTAAAAGAGATGGCAATCCATCTGTTTATTCAGGATTATACTTATAGGAATTCTTGATAACATTTAAAAAAAACCAAATAAAGGGAATTGGAACTGATTTAATAAAAAATTATTATATGCATTCTTTATCAATTTTTAATGGCAGGTACATTGCTTAAAAGAAGCTATCCTCAGGTAGTTTTGGTGTAGTTTTATTGGGAAGAGACAAAGAAAACAACATTGATGTAGCCATAAAAATAGAGAAAGAAGAAAATCAAGAAGTTAAATCTCTAGAAAGGGAAGTGTAGGTTTTATAAAGGTTAGCGAACACAGAAGGAGTCCCTAATCTCTATTGGCATGGCGAGTAGGACGACTACAATATCATCATAATATAGCTACTTGGGAAGGATCTCGCCTATTATATGAAGTAGAAAAGGAGGTTTTCTGTAAAGACAGCGATTTAATTAGGAATATAAATTGTTAAAGTTTTGGAAAGAATTCATTAGAAAGGTGTTGTGCATAGAGATCTGAAACCTGAAAACATTTTATTTGGCTTAGATAATGAGTCTTCCAAAATATATGTTGTAGATTTTGGAATCAGTAAAATATATTTAGATAAGATGGGGAGAATCATGTATTGTTATGCTTAATTTTAGTCCCTTTCGAGACGGAACCTCTTTTATAGGAACCACCAGATATGCATCCATTGCTGCTCACAAAGGATACGAATTGAGTAGGAAGGATGACTTGGAATCTCTTATGTATGTTCTATTGTACTTTATTAAGGGGTAGAAATCTTATAAATATATAAAGTCTAGGCAGCTACCTTGGCAAAATATGCAGAATGTCACCGATGAGGAGAGAACGAACAAAGTTGGAGAAATGAAAATGACTATCGACCCAAGAGAACTGTGCAAAGATGTACCCATCGAATTCCCCATTATCCTTGAGTATCTAATCCATTTATCTTAAGATATTTGAAGACCTTGCAATATCGGAGCGAACCTGATTATAATTACATTTACAACCTATTCCAAAAGTCAGCTAACAGCCTAGGGATTGTTTTAGATTATACCTATGATTGGGAGATGCCTTCTCAAAGGAAGATCTCGGCAAATGAAATGGTAAAATCTTAAGAAATGAAAAGATCGACAACTCTTAATCAAGCTTTATTACCTCCCAATCAGTAGGAAATGAAGAAATCCCTTGAGAAGGGCAATACAAATCTCATGAGATAATCAAGCAATAACAATTTCTTAACTCCTCCTCAAAACAATTAATTGTAACCTCCTCTTTTGAGAAGATCTGATTCTCAATAACCTAGTGTTGCTTCTAATTAAGGTAGTGCCATGCTTAGCACTTATAATTCCAGAAGACCAAAATATCAAAAATCTATAGTTGCCTTGGATTAATTTGAAGATGTAAAAAAAAGCATTGATAGCATTTAATTAGAAAATGGAAATGTAGACAAATTGTAAACTGATGAATAAAAGTTTCATAAAATTCTTAATGAAAGTCTCTAAAAACCTCAAATTTCAAATATTCAATAATCACACTACTACTCCGAAACGGTAGGTTGGAAGGACTCAATTTTTGAAGAGAATTATTTAGATGATCCTCTCTCTAAAAAATATGGATTACTCAAAAATAATGGAGTCGATATGTATTTTTTTTAATCAATTATTTAGAGGCAAAAAACTTTCATTGAAAAATAATAAAATCAAATTACCAAAGAAAAAGAATTGAAATCTATTTATATATAGCATTAAATTAATATATTGTAATCTATTTATGAATGAGTAATAGGGACATGTTGCAGACAATATTAATAAATTAATTTAATAGTAAGAATAATATTAAATTCTTAAATATAAAAATTAAATATAATTGATTAAATTATTTATAAAGGAAAAATCGAGGTAAAAATATTTACTGATAGTTTTGAAATGTTTGGAATCAGGCACATAGAAATATTATAAAATTATCAATTATAATTTATTTTCAATATATTTCACTATTTATTCTCGTCAGATTCCTGGAATTGTTTGTATTGATCATTTAAGATTTTCATTAAGTTTATAATGCTTTCATTTTATTGTTCTAGATGTTCTTGAGGTAAACTAAGATTATATTTTCCAAAGTATTGAGCTATTTGAGAATAGTGAGCTTCCTCAAGGCTGAAATATTATAAAGGCTATTTACTTTAACTTAGCATTCAAAAAGTTTGTCTTAAGGTCGTTGCATTCAGACTTATGCTTTAACTTTTCTATTTTTCCTGTTTATTTGTTGACAATCAGGATGTAAGTTTCTATTTCTTAATAAATTCGTTTATCCCTTGTTCTTTTCTTTCCTATTCTACCTTCACTCTGGTACACTTGGACGATAGCTTTGCCTGTAGAGTACTTAATGCCTAAGTTTTATGCAACCTAAATCATGTTATTGTGATTTAAAACCTATCTTAGGGGTTATCCTTTATTACAAGCTTAATCTATAATTTATGATCGTAAATTGGCGTCCACCTTTTAATAGTGTTATGGCCTATTGCTTTTCCTACTTATTATTAGCCTTAAATATGTACTTTAAACTTTTACTATAATTTTATGGATCTAAGATCTCTTCACTTTCACTAACTTTGTTCATTTTGATATATATTAATTAATAAATAATTGTTGAAAATTAATTTGAAATTTGAGACAGAATATCATTAATCCAATTATCATTTTGATAGAAGTAATTAAAATATATATTTTGATTCATTTTTTTTTTTTAATTTTTCATTAATCAATCTAATATTTAATTGAATTGTCGATTGTAAATGAGCTAGGTTTTGTTAATCCGAGCTTTGCAATTAAAATTTACAATATTCTAAAAAAAATCCTTTTGCTTTTTTATAATTTGTAAAAATAATTGCATTAATATTTTAGAATAATTATTCTTTCATCCTTATCAATTTTACTTTATACAAAATATGATCCTTTTAATAATTATTACTCCTCTTAAATTACTATAATTTTCTCCATAATTTAGGAGTTTGGATTGGAATAAATTAAATTAATATTTTAATATAGATATTAATAGGCAATTTAAGACAAATAACTTCGAATTTAAATTAAGGATAAATATAATTATTAAAGTATTAAAGTAGTTACAAATATTCCTTACTTTTCTGCTGTAATCCAAAATTTGGGGTAAAATCAAAATTTTTCCTCTTATTTTATTTTTATTTATATCCATTTTTTGTAAAATATAAATATACTTAAATAAAATTTGTTAATAAAAATGAATCCAAATACACCTTTCAACGAAAGATTTGCTAAAATCTCTGAAAAACTTAATTCAATACAATTATAACATGACTCTTCTAAAGCACACAGAATAGATACCGTCTGCGGAAGAATTACAGGAGTGGAGGAGAGAATTCAAGACACAATAACATCTTACAATAGGAAACTTGTATGGAATTGATCCTATTTAAATATAGCACACATTAAAGGATGAAATAGTTCGTCTTTAAAAACAAATAGAGGAAGAAAATAATGCCTTCGAAACTTAGTTTGAACAAAGAGTAAGAGAAGTGGCTGCCTTTGAAAGTAGAATAACAACTAAACTTGAATAAGAGATTGCTTTAAGAAAAGATGGTAATCTTAAATTGCAAGGTTATCTGGATGAAAAAGTAAAATATGAATTTAATATTAGGTTGTATATTTGAAATCCGACATACAAACAGAAGGGAAGATTAGACAGGAGCAAGTTGAAAATATCACTACCTCATTGGAAAATGATTTACCAAAATTATACGATATGGTCAAAACAGAGGGATAGGATAGAGAAGATAATGATAATGGAACGTTGAGAAGAGCAGGAGATGAAATTAAGCGATTGAATGAAGGTTTGGGCAATTAGAAGAAATTGAGGTACGAATTCAATGTATCATAAAAGAGAGGAATCGGAAACAGCTATATTTGAAATGCTTAAGGACTTGGTTTCTAGAGTGAAGAGTGAAATAGAAGAGGAAAAAAAATTAAGAGAAGAATCTTAGGAATCGCTTTTAGGATTGTTAGAAGATGCATGCAATAAAATTTACAGAGCAGCTAAAGACTGAATATTTTAAGATATACACAACCACAATCAATTATAAATATATATAGTGTTTTTAAATTTTAATGGTATTTTAACTCTGACATTTGTCATAATTTATAAATAGTTTGACTTCCGAAAATTTGAAATATCAAGATTATGATTTCATCATCTTGATTTCTATTCACATTGTCAGGAGAATGTATAATATTTGGCATAATAGTTATATATCGAATACTCTATCATGCTTTGTAGTATTGATTAATTAAAAGTTATATTCTAATAAGTGGTTTTAAATGACGATAGGGGTTGCGTATTATTGTTATAATGAAAAATAGCGAGTAAACATTCCTAAAGTATGAAAGAATATTTTATTATTTAAATTGATTAAGAATTCTACAGTGACAGTCTTGAAGGTTCTTTAAGTGGTTTTTTCATACAAATTTTGTAAATTAATTTATTTTTATTAATTTCAGCTGTCATTTAATGAAAGCATCAAAAACAATTTCATCTAGTCGTGCGCATCACTAAACGAGATCATTCATTCTAAATACATTGTAGAAATATCTATTTATATTCTCTCTTTTAGGGACAAGTCTCAAGACTCCATTGTTATGAAGAAATCTCCTTCTGAGAATAAGTTAGTCCAAACTTAAAAAGCATATATTATGATTTAACCAAAACTTGTCGAGATATTTGATGAGAATAAGACCAAAAAAACTGAATTGCACTTTGAGAACTCAATTTCTCAGTTGAAAACACTAGAAATAATACAAGGGAAAGGATAAGACAATAAAGAGACTCCAATTAGCACCGAAAGAAAATAAAATAGAAAGCCCTCTATGAAGTAAATTAGTTATTTATATGTTTAGACAATCCTTGAAGATGATTACTTAACTTTGAAAGAAATGATTTTTTATATTGAATATTTCTCATTTGAGACATTTCATATATTTTTTAAATATCCATATATTTATTTTTTAAATTTCTAAAAATGAAGCATAATTAACAACTCCCAAATGCCCATTTAAGAAAGCACTGGACACGATTTGTCAAGACCTTCTATAATCAACCAGCTGCAAAGAGAAGAAGACAACAAAGAAGATAAGCAAATGCATTAAGTAGATCAAACATTAAACAAATTAAATAGGAGCATCTCCAAGACCAGTGGAGTTACTTAGACCAGTTGTAAGAGGCCAAACCATTAAGTACAATGGAGTTTAGAAATTGGGAAGAGGATTCTCCCTTATTGAATTGAAAGAAGCAGGACTTAATGCATAATTCGCCAGAACAGTTGGTATTGCCGTCGATCACAGAAGAAGAAACAACAGTTAAGAAGAATTGGCAGCTAATGTTAAAAGAATCAAGGCATATTTGTCAAAATTAGTCTTATTCCCAAGAGTTGCTGGTAAACCAAAGAATGGAGTTGTCAAAGACTCTGCCAACGAAGTTGTTGCTCAACCAGTCACATAAAATACTAATCCAGAAGTAAAATTGACTTTGATAACAAATAGGTCATCACTTTCTAAAGAACACCAAAGAGAGAGAAGGCTACTGTGATTTCGAAGGAATTAAGAGCTAAAAACGTTTACAGAAGATTAAGATAAGAATGGTACAATGCTAAATTTGTGGGAGTTAAAGAGAAAAGAAAGTAAGCCAAAGAAACCAAGAAATGAGTCAATATAATATAGTGTACATTTACAATAAAATATTTAATATAATTAGATCTTACATCTATATATCAAAATGATTCATCCCAATCAAGATCTAATATTTAATTTTATTTAATCTTTCTTTTTGACTATTGTTCCTCAATCTCTTATTAAATAAATTTGCCTTATTAAATTTATGTCTTAATTTCCGTATCAGAAATCATTTAGTCTTAAGGAGGTATAGACTAAGATTTAATGTAAATTCATACAGGTGGCTTTAATTACTGGGTGTACAATTTATCCCAATCAAAACCTTCAAACCATGCATGAGCTTTTAAATCAGCAATTGAATTTCCTAATCTAGTTTCAGGTTATTGAGATAATAACTATCTTATGCAAATTTTAGCTTATTCGTCTTATAAGAAATTAGGAAATGTTAATTCTTTGGTAACGATGAAATCGTATATATCATAAGGGTCCTACTATAAACATAAGATTACATTAACTTCTTCGCCATATGGCATTCCTCCACATAGAAATCCATAAAAGCTAACACCTAAACTCCAAAAATCAACAATATAAGAGTAACCCTTACCTGTAAGGATCTCAGGAGCCATGTAATGTGGAGTACCTTTAATTGTATACGTTCTTTATCTCTTAGATTTTCTTATTAGCTTTGCATTTCCCAGATATGTTAAAATCAATTTCCCTTCATGGTTAATCCTAAAACTTTCAGGTTACAAATCTATGGACAATTCCATTTGAGTGGAGGTATTCTATGCATAATATCATAGTTCCAAGAATATATTGAGTGTCTTCCTTGTTTAATAAACCCATCTATTTAATTGCATCACCTAGATTAATTCCTGTATAATTTAGAAAAGAAAGNTACAATGGAGTTTAGAAATTGGGAAGAGGATTCTCCCTTATTGAATTGAAAGAAGCAGGACTTAATGCATAATTCGCCAGAACAGTTGGTATTGCCGTCGATCACAGAAGAAGAAACAACAGTTAAGAAGAATTGGCAGCTAATGTTAAAAGAATCAAGGCATATTTGTCAAAATTAGTCTTATTCCCAAGAGTTGCTGGTAAACCAAAGAATGGAGTTGTCAAAGACTCTGCCAACGAAGTTGTTGCTCAACCAGTCACATAAAATACTAATCCAGAAGTAAAATTGACTTTGATAACAAATAGGTCATCACTTTCTAAAGAACACCAAAGAGAGAGAAGGCTACTGTGATTTCGAAGGAATTAAGAGCTAAAAACGTTTACAGAAGATTAAGATAAGAATGGTACAATGCTAAATTTGTGGGAGTTAAAGAGAAAAGAAAGTAAGCCAAAGAAACCAAGAAATGAGTCAATATAATATAGTGTACATTTACAATAAAATATTTAATATAATTAGATCTTACATCTATATATCAAAATGATTCATCCCAATCAAGATCTAATATTTAATTTTATTTAATCTTTCTTTTTGACTATTGTTCCTCAATCTCTTATTAAATAAATTTGCCTTATTAAATTTATGTCTTAATTTCCGTATCAGAAATCATTTAGTCTTAAGGAGGTATAGACTAAGATTTAATGTAAATTCATACAGGTGGCTTTAATTACTGGGTGTACAATTTATCCCAATCAAAACCTTCAAACCATGCATGAGCTTTTAAATCAGCAATTGAATTTCCTAATCTAGTTTCAGGTTATTGAGATAATAACTATCTTATGCAAATTTTAGCTTATTCGTCTTATAAGAAATTAGGAAATGTTAATTCTTTGGTAACGATGAAATCGTATATATCATAAGGGTCCTACTATAAACATAAGATTACATTAACTTCTTCGCCATATGGCATTCCTCCACATAGAAATCCATAAAAGCTAACACCTAAACTCCAAAAATCAACAATATAAGAGTAACCCTTACCTGTAAGGATCTCAGGAGCCATGTAATGTGGAGTACCTTTAATTGTATACGTTCTTTATCTCTTAGATTTTCTTATTAGCTTTGCATTTCCCAGATATGTTAAAATCAATTTCCCTTCATGGTTAATCCTAAAACTTTCAGGTTACAAATCTATGGACAATTCCATTTGAGTGGAGGTATTCTATGCATAATATCATAGTTCCAAGAATATATTGAGTGTCTTCCTTGTTTAATAAACCCATCTATTTAATTGCATCACCTAGATTAATTCCTGTATAATTTAGAAAAGAAAGTAGATTGAAGTTTAATCTTTTAATGTTTTAATAAATCGCTAAATAAAAGGGAAATTACAACTTTCTTCTCTTATAAAATGAATGTTTTCAAGTATTCTTCCTATACAATTTAAGCCTTACTTATGCACTTCAATACAAAATAATTATTTTAATCTTTATGCTTAACTAAATAATGTTCTTTATATTAACTTGGGGATAATTCCTTAATAAAGATAAGATCCTCAATCTGAATATTAAACATGTTTGCTTTAATAGGAAGATTTGATTCTAGTATTTCATGTTATTCAAATTTTCCTTAGATTGCTGTTTCAAAATCTCCTCCAAATATTGTAAATAGTTAAGTAAATTAAATGGTTGCCAAAACACCATCAGTAACCATTATATAATCACTTGTTATCAAATCATCATTCCTCTTTTGGTGTAGAAATTAATGACCAAAACAATTTCCTTTTTCTAATTTGTCATCATCACTTTATAAAGATCCTTCAAGTACAATCACTAATTATTAACATTTTGTATCTTTCTTAAATATAACTGACTCTTTATTGTAATTCTAAATCTAAGCTTCCAATATAATTTTTCTTAACGTAATTTATTTAATTAATTCAAAATATCACTTTTTCCAATAGTCCATCTCATAATATTGTTGAAGATAAACTACTAAATGTGATCCCCCAAAATGATAGTTAAGTTACCTCTTCCCAAAGACAAGCATTTGACTTCTGTTACAGCTTTTATTGATGCTCCTCTTTGACTGTTCTGAAATAAGGCTTATTCACCAAAAAGTCTAAAACCCCCATAGTATTAATTTATTTATTCCCTTTGTAAACTCCGATCGTTCCTGACTTAATTATATAATATGAATCTGCTTAATCCCCTTCATTCACAATAGAATCTCCTGGTTCAAATTTTGTTTTAATTAGTGAATGAGCAACTTTATCTTTTTATTAAGGTGTCATAAAGGAGAATTATTCAATTTCGTTTATAAACTTTCTATTCTCTTCATACTCTGCTTTCATCATAGATGCAACTGCCTTTCTAAAGGTTATTCTGTCAAGCATCCAAAAGTTGCAATCAGCTAAACATATATTTAATATAAATACTAATGGTTTTAATTGACGCACTTCTAGTTGTATTATACAATAAAGCAATCTCGCCAAAATACTGTCCTTCTGATATCACTTTAACTTATTTTTCATTGATTATAACTTCTGCTTGTCCTTTCTGTATAATAACGTAAGAGGTGGCCTAAAATTTATTGAGAAATTTACTTAATCTCCTTATTAAAATATGAACTACTCCTTTTTCTAGGTACAGTAAACTAATTTTGTTATTAAGAAATCAATGAGTTATTGTGATAAATTAAAGAACACATAATGGCTTTTGAAACTCTTCACTATTATTTGTATATCATTATTTATATCATTTTCTATATGATAATATAAAAATCTTACTTGAAATTGACTAATCCAACTTAATAATGTTCTCCAATGTTATTAAATTTGCTTCATCTTCATCATTAAAAATATTCTAAACTGTTGATTATTCTGGTTACAAATTATTATCTTGACTTGGAATTAGAGACTACAATATTAGGGAAAATCTTTCTTTACTTCTGGTATTCCCTTCCCCGTCAAATCATCTTTTACTATATCAACAAGTTCATTATTGGTAAAAGTTCCTTAGCAAATGCTACCTTAAAAATCCATAAATTAATTAATTAATTAGGTTTACAGATTTGAAATAAAACTTAAATAGAAACAAACATATGACCATCTCCTTCTTCAGGAACTGTTATCAGATAGCAATTCTTTGTTAAATTCTCAAACTAAAATTGAATAATAATAATTATCAAAAATTTATGATAAATTAATGTTGAATATTTTTTATAAAATAAAATCAATTATTAATTATTATAATCTGTAATCTAAATTGATAAATTAATATGATTAAAAAAAAATTTCGATATATAAAGAATAGGATCAATTGATTATTGATGGAACTTATTATAATAAATGTCGAGTTGCTTTAGGCTTTAATTTTGAATTATGGAGTGGTATGAGATCAATCATTAATTTGCTTTTCAGGACTGAACAATGTTATCTTTTGGGTTTAAATTCTATTTTAATTTTATTTAATTGGAATTAATTTTATTTATAGTTTTCTATTATTTTTGAAAACAATGCCGATTTTTCTATTTCCGATGAATAATATTGTTATTATTATTAGTTCTATTATGTTTATAATTGCTGAGGATTAAGGAAGTTATTTTAACTTTTAAAATTAGTTTCACTCATTGGAACATTTTGTGAAATACTCCTAAATTTAACATTAATTGAGGGCATCTTACCTAGATTGTGACTATTATTAATGCCATGGTTTTTGAATGGACTTGTGGGAGCATTTTATTTAATTGATTTATTTGAGGGTTGCGAAGGCTTAGTTGGAGATGATTAAGTTGATAATTAATGGCTTGGGATTAATTATTGTAATTTTAGCTTTTGCAATTTTTATTCAATCTTATTATTATACACTTCTTGATCCAAATTGACTGACCAATTCAATGATTACTTGATATGTTGATTTTATTAAAGTAACTAATTGAATATTCTATCCATGTTCTAGTCTCTGTTTTAGAAATATAGAATTTATTCATCTTGACTTCTATGTTATTATTATAGTATTGTATACTTGTCAACACTGCCGACCACATCATACAGTTTAGGGAATACTTTCAAATAGTAATTGTTCAACTTCTTGTTGTTTTTCATATTAACTTGCCAATCATTTTATATATTCTTCTTGTTTGTAACTTAAACTGAATAGAAGTGATTCTGAAGTTTCTCTTCATCATTGTTGTTATCTTGACTGTGTATCTTAATATTGATTAAGAATTACTCTTTTAACTTCAATCTTTTGGTTCTTATTTGTGAGTACTTCAATCTACAGTCGACACTCACCATATATTGCTTAAATCAATTGACAAATTAGACTATTCTTCCCTTCAAAGGTTTAAGTTAAACAATTATATATTGATGGTTAAAATTTAGATACTTTGCATCTGATGATTTACCTTTTTGCCATCATTAATTAGAAAGCTTCTGAAATTCTTGCCATAAATCTATTCACTAATCTAAAGTATAATATTCCAATCATACTTCAATTCTTATTCGTTGATCGTTTAATAATGATAAAATTGATTTATTAGCCTCGCTTCTTGCATGGTGTAATATTGATAAAGGTCATTTAATTCATTTTATGATTTTTGTTATAGGAAAGCCATAGCACATAATTCTTTAAATAAAAAGTTCAGAGTGTCTTAATTAATTTCCATTTAGTAAATTATAAAATAATAAAAATAATCTTTATATTACATAAGTTCTATCTATTCTTTTAACAAGAAGATCGAACCATATGTATTAATATAAATCAATATATAGCAAATTTCAGATTTATAGCAAATATGGACAATTTTCTGCATCAGTTCTTATCTAATTCACTCAAAACATTCTATCAACAAGATATTCCCAAAAAATTTAAGTCTTATTGAAATGATTTAAAGTTTTTACAATTATAGATATATGTAGATCATTAATCAAATATGTCCTTTTTAATAAAGTTTCTTAATCCTGTCATTTGTTGGTAATCTCTTGCAATTTCAATTTGCAATTGATGTTAATTAGTATGGCCTATGCAGTATAAATTGGCATAGGAATTAATTTTCTCTTTTTTAATAATGTATTTGCAAGACTTTTAGATTAAATAGTACATTTGACTATCAGGTATTTCTTCATTTTAGTGTTAATTAAACCATATAATGAAAGTGTTTAAGTCATCCATTTAAAATATTTGATTCCTATGAATTTCGAGAAATGAGCAAATGATGGCTGGTATTTAGAATATGTTTGTTGCTAAAATGAAATCCCAGAATCTGCATACATTATTGATATGAAAATTGTATAAGAACATAGTCATTATTATTTTAGTAAGCCAGAATGCATTGGAGACCTCCAATTTATGATAAATATGTTAATGGAGATCAGGTATCTTAAATTTAATTTCTTATTAGCAAATAAATTCAAGTAATTTCAAAAGGGGCATTTCTTCTGAAAAAAGATAATAAATTAGGAATTTCGGATTGATCATCATCTGAGCCAAAAATTAAAGACTTTGAGTGGTACTTTTGTTATTAATGATCAAGGTAAAACCCGCTAGAAAGTTCATGCCTTAACAATAACCTAGTTTGGGAAATAATTTGGATAATTTAATCAATACTTTTTCAAGGTCTTATTTACCTTCGCCAGATTCAAAGTATTTAATATCTTTAGTTGAAACAGTTCTATGTGTATCTTTTTTTATTGCAAAAACTTATTTTTTATCTTCGTCAATAAAGGATAGATCATCAGACTATATAGAACATTTGGGGATGTAGGCCATCAATTACCAACAAGACCATCTTATTCTTTATTTCGGAGGCCCTCCAATAAGTTTCATTCTAAAATATAATTGGCGAATAAATACTTAAATTCATATTTTTACAAGACATAGAAATTGATGATAATCATATCCAAAATAGAATTACAATAAGGATAGTTCTTCTGATATTCATTAAGATTTTTTTAATCAATTATTGAAGTCGAAGGATCATCAGTGATTTCGGAATCATCAATTTCAGAGAAATATTTAGTAGATGCCTCATAACTTTAGTGATCTATTTAGCTGATAAGTACAGATTCATGGAGAGTCTCAAGCCAATCATTAAGAGAGTTAGTTTAGATTTTCTCATTTGAATGTGCGACAATTAATGATTATTTATTTGGTTATTCATTATCCAACCTGGCAAACTATTGAACGTAGGTCACTTTCCTCTATTTATTCTAATTCTCTGCTTTAACCTTAACTTCATTCATTTCGCCAGCACACAAAGTTTAATTTCCCATTTTTATAAAAATGATTTTACAGAAATACTATTTCCTATTCTAAATACTAAATTACCTCTCAAATCATTACTTTCATATCAGGCACTCCCCAGTGGTATCATTAAGGGTATGATTCAATAATACTCATTTTTAAAATATATAATTTATTTTAAAAGAGTCTCACATAGTAAAACGAATATATAATCTATATACAATATTCAATTCATTTAATTGATTCTAATAAGTTAGTGATAAAATTGCCCAAAGTTTTATTTAATTTTTATTGCTTCTTTTTGCCTAAAATTACATAGTTGCAATAAAATTCCCTTTTTTATTCAAGTTAACTTAAAGTCGCTTAAAAAAATTCGAATATCTTGCCGATGTGAATACAAGAATTAGTTAGTAGTTTTCTGTTCAAAGGATTGAAAATCGTTATTGGTAATTACGGCAAACAATAATCCTATAGATTAAAAAAATAGCTATTAGATTTATAGTAGATAGTAATACCTCGATGATGGATTTTTGAAATCAGCCAATAGACCTATTCCAGTAGTTGTAGAATTGAATTCATTAACAAAATACTTAAGCAAATCAATGAATTATTCTCCTATTTAATTCTAGGCCACTCTATTTTCTCTTAGATAGGAATATACCATAATTATTAGAGAGTAAGAAGAGAGGCCACCTTAATCATAATTATATTTAATTTACCTGTATATGATTCTGATAATCCCAATTTCTTTATCATGCTCTTCAAAACCAATACCAATTATTAGATAACTGGATATTCTTTCATCCATTATTTAACTAAATTAGTAGTAATAAAACCAGAATGAGGGGAATCATATGTGCTTCCACTAAAATTGAACGAGATATCAACTTTGATGCAACTTTTAATCTTTAATTTAAGCCTTTTCCACTTCTGAATATCTGTTTCAGTTAGATTTCTTCCTTCGAATTCTGTCTAAGAGACTTGAGGATCTATTTCGAGTTTAATTACTGGAACGACTGAATTGAAAATGGGACTAAATTCATTCAAATAAAGTTACTTAGACTTTATAACCCATTTCCTTTTAGAGAATTCAAAAAATAAGTTATCAAAAAGAGCCTTAATAACATTTCTATTCATAGGTTAAAATCCACTAATGCCAATATCTATATCTGAATCAATTAGAGCTAATCCAGTAGCACAAGAACCAAACAATCTTGATATTGATTATATTCTTACTATATCATATCATCAGGTATTCCATAGAACACTTTCTAAATTACTAGTTTAATTCTGTCAAAAGCCAAAAGCCTAAAGGGTAACATTTCTTCATAATCATTCATAATGCTATCAGTGAATTCTAAGATGTCATAGTTGATTTATTCAATTAATTTCTATTGTGCTCTTTATTAGACATTTTCAATTTAATCTTTTAGACTGCCATCTTGTGTTTAATTAGATGACGAGATTGATTCAGTTTCTTATTATTCAAATTAGATTGCAGACTTTCTTGTTTTCAATCTTTGTTTTTTCTCCTCCTCTGATGTAGACGCCGTTCTATTTGAGCAGAGACTTCTTATGGTTTAAGCTTATGTTTCTACAGAGAATCTAGTAATTTCAGATCCAGGAGATTATAGTTACATCTATTCGTCTCTACTTTCTGGAATAGATCTCCAAACAGTTTTCTATTTCTTCTTAATCTTTTTTTTCTCTCTTATTACTTCATCTTTATATGCATATTCATCTGACAAAGATTCAAATACAATTTCTAAAATATTCTAAGTTATTGTTTGAGTGTATTCTACAAAATCATCATTGGTAGGATGTTACGAATTTTCAACAAAAGCTTGAGAGATATTTGCTTATCCTAAATCAATAATACTTTGACGTTCTTAAACCTTCTTTTATCTTTCATTGTTCTGTTATTTCTGAGATTGATAGCTTTGAGCATTCACTTCACTTAAATGTAAATAGAATTTATACTTCTGATCATCACTATTTTCCCAAGCTGAGGGTGTATTTGGTGGAGTCACATAAGAATAGGCAAAATTGTTTTATGAATAGGATCTCGAAAATCTTAGTATGTTTGAGTCTTATAAATTCTTGCTTGAGAGACGTTGATGCAATTCGATTGGATCAAGAGTTTTCTTATATTCAATTTTTTCAGACCTTTTTTTCTTTGATTTTTTCTTATCTTTTTTCTTCTTGATTTATATTTCACTGTTAAATAATTCATTCTCCAAATGTTCTTAAAACAATTGAATAACAATCTAATAGAATTTCTTAAGGAAATAGGTTTTCTAATCCAATAAATCCGACATTGAAAATATTAGCATAGAATTGATGATGTTGGAATCAGAATGACATTTTAATTAAAAGTTAGATGAGAGTTCAACCTAAGATTTGATTAATTTAATAGCAGTGCCTGAAAATATATTGTTGTAAAAGATATTATCCAATTCATTTGGATGTGTTTTGATATCCGTGTATATTTATTCAAAATAATAGCTGAGCTAATAAAATTTATTAATAAGTTTACTTTCTCTTTATTATGAGCCAGATTCTTCTCAAAGTATTCCTGTAAATCTTTGGAGTTATTTCTAGTTATCATCTAATTTTAAAATCTATATTTTTTCTTTTTATCTCTTTGTATGTTGTAATAAAAGTTAATATTTTTCTCAAATTCCTTTATAATCCAGGCTGAACAACTATGAAAGCTATTCTAATGAAACCACATAGGGTCTTCTGCCTTTTCTAAATTCGCTTTTGGAGAAGTAGAAAGAAAATATTTGTCACTAATTTCATCTAACAACTCAAGAAAGTTGTTCAAATTTTCTAGGTGAGGTTCACTCACTATAATTGTATCTAGAAAATTTTCATCATCAAAAATCACCAACTTTTCATATAATTCCTAAAGTGTTAAGTATATTTTATACATCTGTTTTTTTGTGAAGGACTCTCGTTTTCATTATAAACTAATCATCATCAATTTTAGACTCTAATTTAATTGTAGCCCTATAAAATATTTAAATAATGTTAACTGTTGAAGAAGTGCATAATTCGAAGGCTGAAATTGTTTATCGTGTATATACATTTTCATTATTGGAAATGTTTTTATTTATCCTTTTATCTGAAATAGTTTATACAACTCAGATTATTCCAAAGTGAACAGCCTGTAAATATATCAAAACCATATATACCATTATACTACTTCTTGCTTATAAGTTGTAGCAGCAGAATTTTGTTCTTGAATGTTCTCTGCATACAAATTATAATATATTTGTGGACGATAAGGATACATGCAATAATTATAGGGCTGAAGAAAATTCATTTAATTTATCTAATTCATTACCTAGGTTTATAATATCATTACTATTATGTCTTTGAATATATTCTGATAAATTTAGTTTATATATTTAATATTATAATCAGGAATCTTAAAACGAGAACATATATTAATTAATATAAAATAAAGATTTACCAATTATATATATTTACAATTAATAAAATAAGATATTTTTGTAGCATAATATGTTTTGATCTGAATTTAATAGGAGTATGTTAAATATTAAACATAGCAATTTATTACAGCTTTTTATGAACAAGTCAATAAACAACACCAATATTTTAAATTCTAGAAAAAATCGAAGAGTCTAATTGTGTTGATCACATTCATCTTTGTCATCGGGAGTGATAATATAGGGGTGACGAATTTAAGATTTTTAAATTCTACATACAATCGTATTAAAAAAATAACTAAGTTTTAGTTTACAATTTGCTAAATCAAAAATAAAATATAAAAACTATTAATAAATTATAGATTAAAATCCTTATTCACATTGAGTTGGATTCATCGATAATAAAATTTACTTATTAGAAGACTTCTTTGAAGGGTCTCTTGTTAGAGTTCTTTATAAATTGCTTATCGATTTCCCAATTGAATCTTTAAGTAATTGCTCTTTTATTTCTTTTTAGGTACTCTCTTTATTAAATGAATTTCATCTTCTCTTTTGGTTTGAATGTCAACATTATATTTTACTTGATTTACGTCAATGGACAGGAAATACTCATGTGTTCACTTGATTGGCAAGTATAGCATTTGATCTTAAAGTGTTGCAACTTATTAAGAAAAAGGACCTCATACTTAATTTATTCGAACAAAGCAACTTACTTAAGATTATTTTGCAGAGCCTTCAAAAAGTTATTTCTCTCCAAATAGATCAATAGCGCATGCTTATAGCTTCTGGCAGAAGCTTTTATTATTTAATATACTACCTTGACGCTTCATTCCGGTTACAAAGGAATAGTGTCCAAAAGATTCTTTAGCTTTTAATTTAGCAATAAGTGTTTCCTCTTTGTTCGATATTGGTAAATTGAAAAATAATTAGATGCAACCCTTTTCAATAAAATACAAGGAACAATCACTATCAACAACATTATCTAGAAAGATATTCTCATGAGCACTAAAAAAAGCCTTATGATATAGATTATGTATTATTTACTTCTTTAGTTTCTTAGGCAATTTAAGCTATGATTTCTGTATCAAATACATTCAACCATAAGTTTTAGTAAACCGAAGAATACGCTTGATCCATCAATTTGCTCTTCAAAGATTTGGGCAGCATTCCAAAAGTCTAGAATTCTAATTCAGTATTTCTGTAATCATAAAAGATTTCACTATTCAACAAATATTTTAAAATAAAGTTTCTAGTTTATTTTGAAATTAGATTTTATCTCATAAACTCACTAATAGCTACTTTGTTTTTAATTTGCTCTTTTTGATTGGAGGATGCTCTAATAAATGCAATATTCGTAATGTTGATTGCTGCTATCATTATGGCTGAAATAAGAGCTAAATCATTGATAAACCATTCCATATTGTTTAATGGGTAGATATCCCCATAACCTACCGTTGTTATTACATTGACCGCCCAATAATAGGAGACTAAGTATTATTTGGAGTAATCCAAAGTTATTATCAATCCAAAGTGACTTTTGGGATCATTTAACCAAGTCTTTGTGCCAGGATAATTATAGTACATATATTCGCCGCCTGCAAAATACATGCAAGCCCAAAAGTGCTATAAATATAGGACTTCTATGAACATCTTAAAAATCAAATAGGTGTTGTATTTAGATGGGTAAAGCTTCAATCTCTCCTAGATTTGTTTTTCAATTTGGAAGAATGATACTGCCTTAAATAAAATGAGAAGATAAACTATGGTGTATGTGGAGATGAAATCAAAATATAGCAATATAAGCACTGGGATCATATCAAATACAAAGTAAGAAGATAAGTATCTCATTCCTATCTATTTTCTAGATGTGATGAGAGCCCCAAAGAAGTAGTAATTGATATTGAATTTTAAAATGACATCTAAAAATAGGATCGCCTAATTTAATAATATAAGAATACCATATAATAATATCGCATTCCTTTGAAAAAAGGGTTCAATTTAAATGTATCATAATCTATATAGAAGAAAATGATGAGGGGAACCAGAGTAAATAAAATCAGAGTGTTGATAAAAACGAAATAGTTCCAAATATCCACAAATGAACTAGAACAATTTATTATGGGCAATGCACGTAATATTTTGAATTCCTTCTTTTGATTTGCCTCTTCAATAACATCTCGAATTATTCTCAAGGGATCCACCTTAGTCTTCTCCATTTTCATCACAAAAGGTATGAATTGCATCTTTCTATACGCTTTACACTTTTGATCTACGTTTAAATTCTGGTAATCCACCTTTAAGTCAAATTTATATTATAAAAAGTCCTTAGGAGCATTCTAAGTATCATGACGCTTTGTAGATCTCTTAAACTTTTATCTCTATTAGTTTTTCACTTATTCTAAGTCCTGTATCATTTCTTTGATATTGATTTACTGGCATTGTTAAGTCAAATGAGATGTGCTTTTGCATAACAAACAATACAATCCTATAGTTTCTAGTTTTTTCTCGTAAAGCACTTGATCACATATCTCTTAAAATTTCTGATAGTCTTCAAAGGAGTTTTATAAACACTCGAGCATATCTAATCTACTAATATAGTATAGAATAGCATATGTTTCTGTTTTGGCTACTTTTGATCTTTAACGAATCCCAGTGACAAACTCATAATTTCCAAAACTGCCACCTTTTTCAATTGATTTAATCAAGACTCCATTTAATGTTAAGTTAATTTGCCCATTGACTACTATGTATAATTTAGGATCGTATATGTCTTATTCTATTATTTAGTCAGCTCCTAGACACAACTATATAGAAATAACTTATACTTCTTTAATTTTGCAAGCGATATCCTATAAACAACGCAAAGAAAATCGATTAAATAGCCATTCTATTTTCAACAATTGATTTTAATAGGCTTGATATAATAATTTAGATTGTAAAGGTTTGGTTAGTTTTCTCATGACATCTTGTTCTGACTGTTGATCTCTCCTCTTAAAATCATAGAAGTATTATTCAAGAAAAATGGACACTTGGTTTACAACATCACTAGATATGTTTTTTATTCTCATGAACTTTTTTACGGCATACATATTCTTATCATATGGATTTTTTTGGTCCTATAGAGAAACTATGTAGGAGACTGTATAAACAATAACAAACATCTATCCGAAGAGTGCCAAGTCTGTTATAAAGATTTCGTAGGTATTCAGTGGAGTTATGTCGCCAAAACCAATTGAGGTGAGAGTTTCAACTGCCCAATAAGTAGAGATTATGTATTTTGTATTTCTTGATTGGTCTTTCACTATAATTCCACTATAACTCTTTGAAAAATCAAGCCAGCTTAATTCATCGGAGTCCAGTCCAATTAATCCCATTAAATAAAAGAGACAACCAAAGCAGTTAAATACAAATAGGAGGATCACTATCAATCTCAACACCTTGTAGACAAAATATATTGATGCGTGATATAGCAATTATTACTGAGTGTATGTGTCAGCATCTATCAATGATATAACTTTCAAAAATATCAATACTGCTATGTAATTTGGCAAATAAAATAGTGTTTAAAACAGAACAAAAANTGATCTACGTTTAAATTCTGGTAATCCACCTTTAAGTCAAATTTATATTATAAAAAGTCCTTAGGAGCATTCTAAGTATCATGACGCTTTGTAGATCTCTTAAACTTTTATCTCTATTAGTTTTTCACTTATTCTAAGTCCTGTATCATTTCTTTGATATTGATTTACTGGCATTGTTAAGTCAAATGAGATGTGCTTTTGCATAACAAACAATACAATCCTATAGTTTCTAGTTTTTTCTCGTAAAGCACTTGATCACATATCTCTTAAAATTTCTGATAGTCTTCAAAGGAGTTTTATAAACACTCGAGCATATCTAATCTACTAATATAGTATAGAATAGCATATGTTTCTGTTTTGGCTACTTTTGATCTTTAACGAATCCCAGTGACAAACTCATAATTTCCAAAACTGCCACCTTTTTCAATTGATTTAATCAAGACTCCATTTAATGTTAAGTTAATTTGCCCATTGACTACTATGTATAATTTAGGATCGTATATGTCTTATTCTATTATTTAGTCAGCTCCTAGACACAACTATATAGAAATAACTTATACTTCTTTAATTTTGCAAGCGATATCCTATAAACAACGCAAAGAAAATCGATTAAATAGCCATTCTATTTTCAACAATTGATTTTAATAGGCTTGATATAATAATTTAGATTGTAAAGGTTTGGTTAGTTTTCTCATGACATCTTGTTCTGACTGTTGATCTCTCCTCTTAAAATCATAGAAGTATTATTCAAGAAAAATGGACACTTGGTTTACAACATCACTAGATATGTTTTTTATTCTCATGAACTTTTTTACGGCATACATATTCTTATCATATGGATTTTTTTGGTCCTATAGAGAAACTATGTAGGAGACTGTATAAACAATAACAAACATCTATCCGAAGAGTGCCAAGTCTGTTATAAAGATTTCGTAGGTATTCAGTGGAGTTATGTCGCCAAAACCAATTGAGGTGAGAGTTTCAACTGCCCAATAAGTAGAGATTATGTATTTTGTATTTCTTGATTGGTCTTTCACTATAATTCCACTATAACTCTTTGAAAAATCAAGCCAGCTTAATTCATCGGAGTCCAGTCCAATTAATCCCATTAAATAAAAGAGACAACCAAAGCAGTTAAATACAAATAGGAGGATCACTATCAATCTCAACACCTTGTAGACAAAATATATTGATGCGTGATATAGCAATTATTACTGAGTGTATGTGTCAGCATCTATCAATGATATAACTTTCAAAAATATCAATACTGCTATGTAATTTGGCAAATAAAATAGTGTTTAAAACAGAACAAAAAATGCAGGCAAAAAGTCAAAACAAAATATAAATAGCAAATACTTTTTCGAAAATTCATTATTTTTGTTTATGACTACATTTTTATCTATAATTTGCTAAACATTGAATTTTATGAAAATATCTGCAAATAGAACGATCTAATTAACTATTATCTAAATACAATTATTAACAGTCTAATTAAGAGAAAAATGGTTCCTTTATTTTAAAACTTATATGATTGCTCATCAAATAATGCTAAGGATACTTAAACGATAGCATATAAGCTAAAGATATTAACAATGGTTTTCCACACAACATAACTAACGCCTTATGTAAATAAAGAATTTTTCTTTTTCTCTATTTAAATTTGCATAAAATTCTTAGTCTAATAAATTTAATAATATAGAATAATTAATTTTAATTAAAATTATATTGAATAATATTAATATCAGAGTTCATTAATAACATAAATTTCCATCCTTCTATTCTCATGAGCACTAAAGAGATATATCCCATCATACAAAACTTTGTTACATCCGTATGGATTTGAAATGATCTCCTACTACTTTTTTGGTTGATCATCCAATTTCCAAATAGAAATCTTGCCTTCTTATTCAAATCCCATCAGTCCAGCATAAAGGTAGGAAGAAGTGGGATCAAAGAACAGAGATTGAATTGAGTAATCATCTTCTAAACTTCTGATTTCTTGTATCTTCGGATAAGACCATATTTTAATAAAATTATCTTTCGATCCACTTATTAACTTACTCTATTAGTTCTAGTTACTAAGTTATAAGCACAAAATCAAATTCTTATGACCTACGATTTCCTACTATTTATTTTTGGTCTTACTGTCCAACACTAGAATATTTTTACCACTCCCAATTATAATTAGATTTTTGTCTATAGCCACTGCACTAATTCTGCCATTCGTTTTGAAAGAATGATGTAATTATCCATCTAAATCCCATAGTTTTAAAGTTGTATCATCTGACCCTGAAGCAATAAAATTTCCCACAAACTCTACACATCTTATTCTCTCTGAATGTCCTTAACAAACAAATGCAATTTTCCAAGATGGAGAAGGTTTCCATATTCTAATTGTTTTGTCCACAGATCCACTGGCTATTATTCTTTTTTCAGAAAATGCAATGCATAGAATTTAATCTGTATGATCTTTCAATTCAATTTTTAATTATTTAGTTCTCCTTACTAATAAATTCATAACAATACTTATCCCAAATTTTTATTGTCATATCCTTTGAACATGTAATTATTTTATCAGTATCCATAAAACATAAATCCTTAACGCTTTTGTCATGAATTTTTAGTGTTACGTCTTTTTCTATTTTTAAAGGATTTGGCAAATTCTATGTTATTTTTATTGAAGGATTAACTATTGATCTAAATAAACTTGATTATTATACTTTGAACTAATGAATGATCTATCTTAAGGTGACCTATTTTCATTATATATTCCTGATATTGCAGATTATGTTGACTATTTCATGCCATTTTAAAAATTGTTTGTTTCCTATTCTCTTATCAAAATACTCTATTAAGGAGTTTAAACTTATTAAGTACCAACAAATTAAGAATATTAGAATTATTAGCTAAAGTCCAAATTTTAAGGTTGATTGATTTAACTTTATTGCAATTCAAAATAGGTCTCATTTTAATATGGAATTGAATTTTATTAGACTTATTTCTCCTCTTTCATTGAATATTGCAGTTTAACATTTGAAGGTTGTTTTTGATGAAATTAACTATTTTCATTTTGGGGCAAGGTCTATTGATTCGTAAAATAACCAACTACTTATTGTTATTCTGGTGGAACAAATCTTATTTAACTCTATTTTTGATATAATAGATCGGATTGATGTGATTTCTAAAATTAAAATGCAGGGACTTCAAAATTTTATGATTTTTAAGTATTTCTAAAAGGTTCAAGTTACTTAATTTAATCAAATGAAGCATTTTGTGATTTTGATTTTTATCTATCTCCTTCAATTCTACTTTGTTTGCCTGATGATTTATCAATGTCAAAGGGTTTAGTAATTTTGAATGAATTTTACATAGACAATTATGAATCTTATTCAGTGAAATAATTTTTTAATTTAGAATTATTGAATGAGCCAACTGGCATCAAGTCTCTTTAAAGCAACTATTTAGAAAGTGGAGATTAACTTCTTTATTTTTATTAGAATATCGGTTCCTTGGGTTTATTTGATCGATTCGATAATTAAGGTGATAACTCTCTCACTTCGCTTGATAGTATGGATTTAGTATTTATAATTTATTAAGATTGCTGTGAAGGTTAATGACGATATTGAGCTTATACTAGTTTCTATGGTAGTTATGAAAATTAGGATTTGATATCCTTTTCAATCTCTACTATTTGCTCAAAAAATTGTTCTAAATACTCTCTATCTTTTAATTAATCTCTTTGAACTAATTCAATAATTTTTGATTGATATTATTGATGACTCATTTTCTCTTACTTCAATTGTTAAATTATTTCTTTTTTTCTCTTTTCATCTATAAAATTTACATCTATTTGTAAAGATGAAATCTTGTCATGAAAGTATTATTTCATTTAGTCTAATTTTTACAATATTTATGCTTAATACTCCATATTTAAGTATTTTGTGTAATCATCCAAATATGCTTCCAAATTTTTAATTGTATGTATTTTATGAGTATCAACACATATGTCACACAAGGGTCCTTTCTTTGTGCAATCTTATTGAAGACAGACCTATGTAAATATAGACTAATGCAGTTAGCAATAGTATTACATATTTGAACAAAATTTTGAACTTTTTAATAATAAGAAAGATTAACAAATATGAATTGTTTGATGGAAGCTCAAATCTCCTAGAGGTTTAATTTAACTTTGCTAATTTATTTCTAAATTACGACAAGTATTTACTTAAACACTTTGTATTAATTAATAATACAACTTAAATGCCACCATATTTAATTGATATTATACTTAACTAGACACTGAAATCATCTTTTAATCAATAAATAATGTATTCAGAAAGAAAAGTGAAATTAACTCTTCATTTACCTTAATTAGAACAAGGTATAAAGTTTGAATCAGAAGCCTAAACAACAGCATCCCAATCAAGTAAATTTATGTATTAATAACAGGAATTCTTTCAATCAACAAAGGTCATTAAACTGAAAATAGATTACACAAACACACAGTCACTTAAATAAACAGTCCTAACCAACTCCATCTTTATACTCCTAAATAAGAGAGTTTGAGAGCCAAAAGACTTAAAAACATCCCTTATGAGTTATAATATTTCATTCCTAATCTCCCTAACAAAAACTTTAAATCCAGCCATCTAATGAGCAGTAAATTATTAGAAAAACCCAAATGTACACTCTATAACAAAGATAAATGGCTATTGAATACTCATAAAACTAGAATGAATAATGCTTTTAGTCTAGGTTAAAGTAGAAGAATAGAAAATTAAAATCTAAAAACAGAGTAACAAGAAGAACACAATCAAATTCGAAGGGAGAACACAAACCACATCGAAAAAGAAAAAATAAAAGTAATGAAATAAAATATTTTTAGAGACTCAACAAATAAAGAATTGACACTCAAAAATTAATTGACCAATTTGCTTCTTAATTTAATTCAAGTGTGAAAATAGATCATTCAGAATGAATCCTTTGAAACTTATATAAATAGAATCTTTTATAATCTTATATTTATATTGTCTTTCTTCAATCTCTACATTTTGTAAAGGGATTTAAACATTCAAATTTAATTTAAAATAGTTATGTTTTTTTTATCAGTTATTACAATATATACCTGTTTCTTTCGAATCGTCTAGAAGTAAAAATCTTAAAAATGCCTTAAAATTGGAAATTACTAGGAAGTTACATTCTTCTTAGAACTGATAAATAAGATAAAAATTTTGATGAATGTATATTTTTAGAGGTTTACATAGTTTGACATAGAGTTTGTAGACCTTTCTTAATAATAACTTTCAATAATTTTAAATGCAGAATTCAAAAAAACCATTATTATCATGTTCCTAATACAAATTATGATAATACTATTTCTTTGATTTTCTTCTTTGTTCATCTAATTTTATTTAAAGGAGGGAATTCGGAAAAAAAAATTTAATTACTAGTTTTAAATATGATTTCTCATTATTTTTTGACTCTTGGCTTATAGGATGTTGAGTGTTCAGTTAAATAAATTTATAATAATTTTTAGTAATAATTATTAATGAGAGAGTCTGAGATGTAGTAATATATTAAAATTAGCAGATATATTAAAAATTATTTTAGGATTTTGTGATTTTAAGATCAAATTGTGATTGTAATGCTTAGATACCAAAAAATACTATCAATATTAAATAAGAATAGTAGTTAAATATCAGTAAGATGATGATTTAAAATACTTAATAAAATGAGGCATTTAAATTAATTTATAAGCAAGTAGAGAATAAGAAATAAAATATGTGAATTTTGATAGGAGTTTACAATACTCAAAATCAATTTTTAAATTTCATGGTTATATTTAATTTTAATAAATTAATTTGTGGTTGATTTATTGTAATTTTCTTATTTATTTATATAATTTTATGGAATTAGACTATGATTTTTAAATTTTCATTATACAAAATATAATTTATTTAAATTCAACAACCAAGCTATCATGAAAAGATGATCTATCTGTTAATGAGAGTTGTTAATTTTGATGATACCATAAGATATATTGGTTTTTTGCAGTGTTATATATAAGTAAAATACAGATTTGATTATTGATTCTGTTAATTCACTTTATGGTAAAAATTATCGTTTTTAAAGGAAAACATTAAATATTAAATGAAATAAGTTTACTTTATTTCCATTTTGGTCTTGTCATCCTATTGTGCTTCATTTTTGGAAGAGCAACCAGGAATGCAGAATAAAATTTATTCAATAAAATTGGAGCGAACTCAATCTTAGGCCAGAAAATCGTTTTTCGATTTCATTACAACAGGATAGCATTTTAGATCTAAGAGTGATATATTGGATGACATTGCATTGACATAAACAACACAGAAGGAGAGCATAAAATTATATAATTTTAAAAATACTTAATATACTGGTGAAATTAGTTTTGGAGGATAAGAAAATAAATTTAAAGTAGAATAAATTACTAAAATAGGTTATATTTGATACTGGATCAGCAAATATTTGGTTGAATTCAGCTAGATGTCACGATTACGGCTGCAAGAATCATAAACAATATGATGGTTAAAAGAGTTTGACTTATGAGCATTTAGGTTATGATTTAGATGTTGAATTTGGAACTGGTGAATTGATGGGGGAGGTAAAAAAGATAAATAAATTAAAAGATCAATGCAGATACTGCCTATATTGGAAATGTTAAGATTAGAAAATAAGAGTTCGCAGAAATAGTTAGGGAAAATGGAGATGTATTTGCTTAATCTGATTTTGATGGTATAGTAGGTTTAGCATATCCAACAATGGCTGCTTATCATTTTAATCCATTATTTGATAATATCATGCAATAAAAGTTGTTGGATAGGAATGTGTTTTCATTCTACTTTTCAAGATAAGAGAACTCTAGAACCTCCGAACTAACTTTGGGAGGATGGAATTAAGATCATTTTGAAGGTGAATTGCATTTTCATAATGTGGCCAATAAGTATTACTGGCTATTGGAGGCTAATAACATTTTGGTGAATGGAAAGGATGTTGGATTATGTAAAGGAGGTTGCAGTGTTATAGCAGATACTGGAACATCATTAATAACAGGTCCATCTGATGATTTATATGATTTGATTGATACTCTTAATATAGACGATAATTGCAAGAATCTTAAAGAATTACCAACCTTAACTTTTGTGTTGGATGGAATTCATTATGATCTTGATGCACATGATTATGTAATGAAGATAGATTCATATGGAAATGAAGTAAATACTTTTATAATATCAATAGGTTGCATATGGATCCTTTGCATCTACAGACAGCTTCTTGGAAATGGGTGCAGGTTGTGAATGTATTGGAACATTTATGCCCTTAGACATCCCTTTCCCTCAAGGGCCAGCTTGGATTTTGGGTGACACCTTCTTAAGCAAATATTATTCTGTTTATGATAGAGATAACGATAGGGTTGGCTTTGCTAGATCAAAATGAACATAACTTTGTAATCAAAAGTCATTCATTATTTTTTCTTAATAAAAATTATAATTATGTAATTTATGGTTGCAGCAAATAATGGAGTTATTCTAATTAAACAAATTATCAAAAATCAATGAAATCATTCCAAACTCAAATTTGTAAACTCATAACCATCTACATTATTCTTAGTCTTATTTAAATTGAGATTTCTAGTTAAAAAGTTGTGAAATGCGAGATTGATCTTTAATTGTTTTAGCATATATTGTTTATCAATCTCTAGATTTATAAAACCAATATGAACTCAACATTCTGATTTAAAATTGAATAACCAAAATTTTAAGAATTATTTTGCTTTTAAAATTAAAAGTTGGAATTTTAGTAAGCAAATCATTAAATAAAATAAAAGATTTATTACTATTTTTATCTCCTAAGTTGTAATTAGCTTATTGCAGTTAGATTAATCATTTGGATTGGGCAATGGGATTTAATAATATTGAGAATTTTATCAATTTTTTATTAATCTTCTAAAACAATAAATTTTGGTTTTATTATATAAAAAAAGTAAATAACAATAAAATGGACAAAAAAGGTAACTTTGAAAGATTAAGAAATAAGTTGAAAGTCGATTTATTCAGGAATGAGAATTAATAATAATAGAATGATTAAGAAATTATTAATCAATGCCCATAAATATTGGAATATGTTCATTCTTCAAGTTAAAGTGAATTTAAAGAGAATAACCCCAAAATAATTGATTATTTGTCAAACAAGAAACAATTTGAATAAATGAAGCAATCATTCAAAAATATCTATCAGATTGGAAAAATTCTGGGTGAAGGAGCCCATGCAGTTGTAAGGTAATGTTGGCAAATAACTAACCCAGATGAAACATATGCTGTCAAAATTTCAAGGAATGCAGATCCAGAAATAACTGAAATTATGAAATAAACATTCCTTAACACCGTGGCTTTAAATCACCCATATATTTGTAAAACTAATATGCTTTACATTGACCCAAATATGGAATGCTCTTATCTAGTGATGGAGTATTTGCCATATCCAAGTCTCTAACATATATTAAAGGAAAGACAGACTTTGGATTTGAACGAAACCTGTTTAATAGTAAGATAATTATTTGAGGCCGTGTCATATATTCATAAAGTTGGATTATGTCATAGAGATATCAAACCAGATAACATTGTTTTTGATAATGACACCAACACCATTAAGTTAATTGATTTTGGTGTTTCAAAAAGATTCCTTATGGCCGAAAAGAATTTCAAAGACATCAAAAATAACCTCATGTGGACAGTAACTGGAACAATGCCCTATCAAGCTCCTGAATTGTGGGAAGGTGCTGGCTATTCCAATAAGATTGATGTTTGGGCTATTGGAGTTGTCTGTTATCAAATGCTATGCGGTAAATTACCTATAGACTAAGAAAATCAGATGGAAAGTTTTTCAACTTAATCAGAATACACCAGCCATTTTCAATAGCCAGAATTTCTTAAATTACCCCCTTTAGTCATTGACTTCATCAAAAGAATATTGAGGTGGAATCCAGACCAAAGATTGACTTCAGCTTGTAATGTTATATTATAAAAAAATAGAGGCTCTACTTCATCCTTGGCTTTATCAAACTAAGATTTTCTCTAAGCATCAAAAAATGAGATCATAAGATGACATTGTTCTTGGGTTAAGTGAGAAACCACTTTTGGGTATTTTAAGGTCTATGTAAGCAAATATGAAAATATTACAATAATCTGTTTCTAATTCTAATGAATAATTTATTGATAAAAGAGATCTAACTAAAAATCATGGATAAATCATTATTGCTTATAAAGAAACCAGTTAACAAATCAGAGAAAAATCGATTCACTTTTAATAATCAATCCATTCAATCAATCTTACCAAATGTACAGCTAAGTCTGGTACAGATGAAGTCAAAGACCTTTTTGACGTAATCAATTTCTGTGACAGCAACTCTTCATTCGAGGCTTTAGAAGAAAAACAATAATTATAAGCTCAATAATCAAAATCAGCTTAGTAGCAGTAATAACAAAAATTGGGTTTTTCCTAAAGACTAGGTGTAATTAAAGAGGAACCAGAAACTCCATAGAATAAATAACTCAAGAAAATATTTGATGAAATCGACTAGATTTGATTCATTATATATTTATATATCGTTATAAATTAGTTATGACAAAAGTAAAAAATCAATTATAAAGTCATAACTGATTCTAATAAACAGATGTATTCTTACCTTTATATTCGTTCTATTGAGTTGATTCAATATAATCTTTATAGAAAATAGTATTGAAATTCAAGATTATTTGACAAAAATTTCAATTGAAGTTCAATCTGGAATGTTATCTACTCTATATTCATGAAATATATCAATTTGGTAATGCAAATAAAGTCCATTAATAGAACTAGATTTTAAATATGCTTACACTCTTATATTATATAATAGGCACAAGAATATTAATAAAGAAATAAATAGACACAGCCATATAAATTTAATATTAGTTAAATTAAAATTCCATTAAACATTAACTTAAATGATTAACAAATATAATTTCAAAATTTTAATATCATGAGTTTTCAATTTTATAATTTTATGAGCCAATCTGTTCTCTCGTTTTATTTTTAGGAGAGCTTACTTAAGTTTAATCATAATCTTTAAACTTATTTAATGATCTTTAATCAGTTTCTTAACTCGTTATTGGATTTTTGATATTATCTTTTTATTTTTTATTTTTTTAATGAACTATTTTTTGGTTATTTAAAATAGAATCAAAATTAATCTTATCCTATTAATTTATTTAATCCTATTTACTAATTTAAGAATTGTATTTAGCATTATGTAAATTATATTAAGTTCCACTACTGTCCTATTCTTCTTTTATTGTATGCAAATTTATTTAATAACCATAATCTTATTTACATTCCTCGTTATTTAAATTAGAAATTTCAAAATTGTTTTTCTAATTTTAGTTGAAAATTGTTCTTTGTTTTTACTAATCGAATAGGTATATTTAGTTCATACTAATAACATTTTTACTTGCTCCATCTATTTCTTCTAAGAAATTTTCATCAATTTCACTGTCATCTTCATCTTATTTCTTATGCATTAATACTTCCAAAGCCCCTTTAATATCTTTTAAAGCTGATTCATCCAGACTTTCTATTGGATTATATTTTCTTTCAGGTCCTTTATAACCATCCTATTCACCATAACCAGCAAAGTTATGATCTCCATAAATGAATCTATTCAATTAACTCATATTTAATTTTGAGCTTGGTTCACCCATTTACCCAATCCTACTGAGGTTTTCCATAGATTATATAATATTGTTTTTTTCTCTTTTTTTATGTTAAATCAAAATTAATGGAACTGATATAATAAGATCATCAACCTTATAAAAAAGGAATTTGTCAAAAATAGCATTCACGGTTAAAATATATTAGTAACTTATTCTTTTGGTTTTTATTGTACTTTATGGAAAAAAAGAAGTCTAATTAAATTCATTACCGATGGGCAAAATTAAATTGATGCTGATTTATTTTCTTTAATGTGATTTAATTTGTTCTAAAATAAAATAACTAAAAATACCATTTATTTCTTATTTTAAAATTTCAAAATAATTTGACAATTTTCTTTTTTATTCTTTATACAACACTACTAATTAGGATGAAATTCTTAATTCAAGTTTTTATATGCCAATATTTGATTACATATTATCAACTGATAGAATCAAGGGGATATTATCTCCAAAAATATATTATGTTTTTTAAAGCTGAATTTTTACTTTTGTATTCTAGATTTATAGATGGCTTTACTTCTGTTGAATAGCATAATCTTTTGTGTGCCTTCGAGATTCCCTCTATTTCTAAAGGAATTTAATTAATAATTGGCAATTTTTCTAATATATGAACTACGACTCTATGTTTCTTTGGTACTTTATATTAAAGTTTTCCATCTTAATTCTATAAATTTACAGTGAGAAAATAAAGAATTCTACATTGAACCGTTTTATAATAATTAATTGTAAAACTTGGATACAATGATGGCACTTCTAACTCAAAATATTTCTTGCAGGCCATCACAGGCATTTTTCTAATAATTGACATAATTTTACGTTCCGAAATCCGTGATTTTTTTTAATTTTTTATATATGAATTATTTAAAACTAAAGAATTAGCTATATGTGTCTAATTAATTGACTTTCTCTTAACAACAAAGCTACATAAGCTTGAGAAGTATTCTTACCTTTAAATACATGAGCCCAGCATCAATGTCGTTTGTTTTGATTTTCATATATATCACCCCTTTTATAATCTCCCCAGGGTAATAGGCAGGCTTATCAATTTTAATAGAAATTTAGGCTTGGCTAGGAGTTAGAGTGTATATCATATTTTAATAAAATAATTATTGAATCAATTATTCTTACTTTATGTTATGAATTTTATATTTAATATTCCAATGTAGTTATTTTAATTAAACTTGACTATTTCAGTGTTAATGTAATATTAATAAAATTCGTAAAAACTTAGTTTATCATTTAGTCATAAGTTAAATTAAAATTCCTCCTAATTTATTGTGAATTTCAATCAGGACTAATAATAATGTATTCTAAATTACAAAAATGATAATATGACTTATATCATATTTTCAAAATAATGAACTAATTTCTTTTAAACTTTAAATTGCAACTAATTAAAAGTATTGCTCTATGCTTTAAATCACCATATAACAAGGTTTTAATTGAAAAGCTGCCTAACACTAAATTGGTTTTTTATTTATTTTATCACTCTCATAGATATGCATTCGGGTAAAAATTAATTTTTCTCTTTTTCTGAACTCCCTTCCTTAAGAAAAGTAATAATTTCCTGTGTTTAAAGATTAAAAATTAATCAATAATAATTAATTTTTTATTATTTTAAAATAGCGTAACAAATAAATTCAATTTATCAGTAAATAAAATATTAAAAATTATCAAAATAGTATAAATCGTATCAAACAAGACTTAAGATTAATAAAATTAATTAATTAGAATTGAAAAAATCATGATAATTTTTATGATATTATCGAAATGATTGAATTTATCCTATATTTATTTATAATTTAATTCAAATTTAATAGGAGGTCATATGAGTTTATTAAATTCTTCTATAGACTGGAAATGTCTGATATCTTTGATGTGAAGTTGATTATCTGAAAAATAAAGCAATTTAATCAATCTTAAATAATAAAATGATTTACTTCTTAAAAAATTCGCATAATTAGTCAACTGAATTTTGTGAATCAGGATAATTTTTTTTTTGATATTCTGTTAAATCGTATTCAACAATATACAAGCTTTTTTCAAGATTAAGAGGTTTGGAAAAGATAATTATCTAAATAAAAAAATCAAATTATAAAATGATAACTTTGAATCTTTAAGCTCGAATCAATCTAAAAAATCATGAAATGTTATTACATATAAGTTTAATATAGAACCTAATCCAACCTAACATGTGAAGGAAGTTAATCCTTTTCTTTTTAAAAGTTTTCATTGCCTAATTGATTTTGTTTCAAATCTGCTTTCTCTACTTTAACTTACACTTAATTTATTTTATGTTTAGCTATTTCAAATGCTTATTTATCAACTTCTGGTTTGATTTAAGGTTAAGGATTTTCAACCCTTTTCTTTCTTGCTTCAATTCTTGGATTCAACTTTTACATTAGATTGCAAAGAAATTAAAATTGTTCTTAACAAAATTTCTATTGATCCTGCATGCTCAATGATTAAAACACTTCCCCATAATAATTATATGTTATAGCAAGTAAATGAATCATCCTTTCTTTTTAAATTTCTCTTGGCGGCGATAATAATTATTCTTCATTCTAATTAAATAGAATTCTAAATATATTAGAAGTAAATACTCAACCAAATTCAGCATAAATTTATAGTTTATACAAACTTCAACAGTCTCATATTAAGGTGATGACAACTATTCGAATATTAATAATGCCTTAGTTATAAATTATTTTGCATCTTATTTGTCTCCTTTATTCAATTGAACAAAACCCAAGTTCTCCAACAACACTCCCATCTAAAATTAAGAAACATTAGTTTCCAACACATAACTTCTAGCTGCCAATGCTCTCATTAAATAGGTTTCAGCCTCTCTAATTTTCTTTCTCCTCATCAAGATTACTCCAATGTTATTTAGTGTCTATATAGTATACTTGAGAAGATAGTAATAGAAATCGATATCTTCTACTTTTGGGTAAACTTAAACTTCCGTTGGTAACTTGAGAATCATCAATTTTTCATTTGATGAAACTGTTTGATTGATATCTAATAAATAAAGCTATTATAAAGAAGAATCATACCATAACCTTAGAATATTCAGTTAGCAAATCTGGCTCTTAATTGAAATTCTTTAAAGCTTTTATTAAGACTTTTTCTAATTTTTTGTAAATATAATAAGACACTTTATAGTCATTGCTTCCGATGGCTATAAAGGTTTATTAGTATCGTGCTTCTATGTAATTTTTTACAATCCCTTTGATTTCAACTAATCTGTAGCCTTCTGCAAATTTATCAAGCACAAAATCGGTTTCATCATCAATTGAATCTTTATTAAACTCATTTTGTTCTTTTTATGCCATTTTAAATAAAAATTATAATTCACTTTATTATTAAATGAAAGGGAACAGAAATATTAATAATGTATCATTAGATGCAACTTGTAGATAGATTGGAAAATATAATTAACCGATTATCAAAACTCTTATAATTTGAGATTCAATTCATTTGGAAATATTACTATTTATATTCTTAACTTTATTTATCATAAAATCCCAAAAGGATTATTTATTAATCGAACTTCAAGATTATCACATTCTGTATAAATACTATAATAGGACTCATTGAATTCATAAATTGATTTACCACCATTAAATATGTTGAACTTCAATTTATCATAAACATTTAAAATAATATTATTTGCTTTAATAAATCCTTAATTCTGTTCATTTGTTATTCCTAATTCTACATTTTTAGATTAATTGATATAAAATAATCCAGATAATGATTTGATGAAAAATGATTCCGCTTTTAAATTACATTTCAATCTTCCTGAGAATGTTCCTATATTAAAGTTTTTAGCCTATGATTATATTGAAAAATGATTATTCTATTCAATATTTTCTAAAAATTAGAATTTTTGAAGAATTGGATAATTCTTTTAAAGATTTTAAACATATCCTGCTTAGATTTTACAATCTCCATTCTCTTAATGTAAATTTGCTACTTTTGATATGAGTAACTTCTTAATAGTGACATTATTTTTAATCCATAATTCTCCAAATTATGTTTCTAATGCAGAATTTACTTATAAGCTATTAGCTTTGATTCTACAGATTTCTGATTTAATCTTTTAAGATAAGAAATCACCAGTTAAATCAATATCAATATTTCCATATAGTTTTGCATCTATACCAGCTGATATATGTTAAAGATCCCCATTAATTATTCCATTGTAATTATAGTATTCAGGCATATTGATTTTGATTTGATATTTTCCATTGTCAACATTAGAAATCTGACTTTAATCTTTTTCCTCATCAAACAAAAAGCCAGTCTCAGGTTGACAATAATATTCGCAATTATCTTCCCAATGAGTTTATAAAGTTACTTTATGTTAACCATTCAATAATTTAAAACTGACTGTACCTGCTTGCCCATATAGAGATTTGAAAGTAGAAAATTTATATAAAATATTTTTTATCATTAATAATTTTAATAAGAGTAAATTATTAAGTAGATTATTAAATAATGTTGTATGAACATCTATTAACAAATTGCATTTGATCATTGGTTATGATATTTTGTAACTTTAATATATGCATTTTGAATAAAAATATGTAAATAAATCAATGTTCTTCAAATTTTACATATCTTCCTTCACTTACTAAATAGTAACCACCAGCCACCTATAGCTCAATTTCTTTTGTATATTTTTCCATCCTTTTCCTATCCTAATCATTTTTAATAGAAAACAAATCACTATCAAGACTGCCTCTGCCAACAAGGCTTGAAAAATTGGATAAAGCTTAAGAAACAGATGCTTACCTCTAATATGCAAATCTTGTTTTGAAAGTTTGATTTCTATTTATCAAAGGAGTTTAATTGTCAAATTAAATCTCATTATTAATTTGATCCGATTATATGGGAATTGTAATTGATTTTCCTGATTATACAGAAGTCTGCATTCGAAACTGAGCAAAATTAGACTTCTATATTTAATCATCCTAATCAACTGGATTTAAATAAGGAACTTTATCTCTTAATTCTGATTCATTAATACTAGTGTCCAACTATTTTACTTGTTTTGATTTCCAATAGATTGCTAATACTATGTAGAATAATCCGCAAAATCCAATAGTAGAGAGAAGAATCATTCCCCAACGAGATGTAGATCCTCCAGTCTATTATTATACAAAACCATAAAGAACTGGTGCTGGCAAATATCCTAAAAGTTCTTAAAATAAATGACTCAATGAATTCCCACTTGATCTTTATTCTCTTGGAATTGAAGTAATCATAATGCCCATGATTGCTGGAACAGCACTTCCACCAAAGAAGAGTAAAAACCATAGGAAAAGCAATACAAAGGCTCCATTATTTAGAATAGGAATGAATGCTCCTGATACACTTGCTAACAGGGCTTCAAAAGCTGCAATTTAGATTGCCATCTATCCATCATAACCTCCAAAATTATGTAGGATTAATCCTCCCAAATATACTCCACTAAGAGGTGCAGTTAATGATATTATTAAAAATGATTTAAATACAACTTCATGAGGCATTAAAAATACATTCCTAAGATAATCTGTTATCCAAAATTAGACTCCTGTTACAACAAAAAATAAAGAACTTAATGATAACATCGAAAACACAAAAACAGGGTTAGACAAAAAGGTTTTTAAGTTTTGCATAAAGACAGTCTTAAAATTCTCCTTTTTTACATTTGCTTATTCCTAATCTTATGTAGATAACATTGCTTCATCACAGAAACTATAACACAAAAAACAGGGTATTAATAATAGTATTTACAAATAATAAGGGTATACCCACTAATAGTTTAAATTTACATTACATTCTATGAAAAATGAAGTGATAATGAAGTCACTAAATATCCAGACACAGTTCCTAAGGCCACTCCCAATTACATGTATGTCAACCACAAAGTCTTGTTGTTTTCACCGAATAAATCTATCCAAACAGGGAAAAAAACTACTAAAAACACCAAATAAATTAGTATTGCATACTTAAAAGAATCCTGTTAAAAATCTAGATAAAAATAGAAGAAATAAATTTTTGGTTAGAATAAATAAAGATAAACTTAGGATGCAACATAATACACTTATTGTTACTATGTGCTTAGTTTTTAATTTGTCAAATATCCCAGTGCCAATAAATGAACCTATGACAAGCCCTCCATATACTGATGATCCCATCATACCTAACTTAGATTAAATTTGAATTTAAACACTTACTTAAACGTCATCTATGCCCAAATCTAATTTCATATCAGTTGTGCATGCAGGAATTATTCCATGATCGAAATTTATCAGAGCATTCGTCACGAAATTTAACAGATATAATGATAAATTGTTTTTTTCCATTTTTTTAATTAAAAATTTTCTTCATTCTTTATTTACAAGGAATCACTTATCTTTAATTGTTTTACTTCATTGATGCATTTAATAGATTTCACAATATATTATAGTACATATGTACTTATTTATATGAATATCAATCAATTCATTTCCCAAAAACTTCGCAATCAGAATAATTCAAATATAGGAATTCATCTTCTTTATCTTTATATTTATTATACAATTCTTGAAGTGTTATATCTATTTTTAATTGTATTAATTACCATCGGAGATTATATTATTTCCACAATAGAAAAACAATGTTTGTTAAGGGGATAATTAAAGTTTTGCCCTGATTTAGTTTTTAAAATCAGAAAACTTAACCGTTTAATTGACCAAGAATCTATTATACTCTAAACAAAATACTATGGTCTTGTTAATGACATAATCTTGGCCTTAGGATGTTTTTAAACAACCATAGGTGTCATCTCAGGGTATTTTTCTCTATATTGTTGTACTCTCTTCTTTCTGTCTTCTAATTTATGCTGTGCCTTATAGTCCTTCACACTTTGATTTTTAGTGATATCCAACTATTAGCTATTCATTATTTTTTTATAATATTTTGAAATTAATATCCGAATAAAATACTCGCTAATTAATCAAGTTAATTATGAATTAAAAAGAGGAATACACATTGATGACAATCTATGTCTAAGTCTCCTCACTTATTTTTGACAAAATATTATAGAATATTAATAATTTAAAACTATGAATTATGATAATAGAATTTATGAAATACTTTTATTAATATTTAGATGAATTTATTTCAGAATGGTCTCCTTTTTTTAGTTAATATATTTTTAATAGTAATACATTATTAAAATTAAAAAATGCTTATACGTCTTTATTATTTTTATATATATAACACGAAAGATTGGAAATAATTTGTCGTATTTACTTTTAAAATATTCTAAATTTCAGACAATAACATATTCATTTTTAGTTTAGTTCTTTGATTGAATAATGAATTAACCTAATTGCCTAATTTCATTCGCAAATCATATCCCCTTAGGATATATTTCTTATCATAAGATTTTAAAGTTTGTTGAAATATATTTTTTCATATAACTAACCCATTATAAATAGAATTATTATAGCCATATTCATCTATTTGGAATATAATATTTCAATCCTATTTTGCTACAATAAGTTATTTAGGTAATTATTCATTTTAACTTCTTTCTTAATAATACTTTTATTGATAATTTACAATAGATCTTTAATCAATACTTATATGGAGAATTTTTAAAATATTACTAAGATTCAAGGTACAAATTACTAATTGTTTGTTCGTAAAAATTAATTCAGACAGAGCAATGACATTCAAAGAGGGTATCCGATTTATGGATGCAAAATGAACATCTAACAAACTCCAAGAATAAATTATCCAATAAAATTCAAGATCTCTTTAGATAAACAATAAAAAACTAAATCGAATTCTGTGAATCATGAATAAAATAATACTATAGGACAATTAACAAATAAGTGTCATATCTATCAATAATACATAAATGAAATAATTAATAAGAAAAACAATATTACTCTCAGCACTATTGAATAAACTATTGCTTAGAGTAAACAGAATAAATAAGATACATCATTTAAATAAGATAGAAGCTTTATTATGCCAAAATTGGTTCAACAAAGGAAATAAAAAAGAAAAGTATTATAGAAATAAACTGTAACTGAGTGTTCTTTAATTGAAGACCTAAAGCCATGGGAATCATATCATAACTCTTTGGCTTTATTTCAATGAATCTTTGGTAATATTGATAAATTCTTTAAATTTTCATATTAATCAGAATAAATTATTCTCCTCTACGAAGCATGTTACTACTTCTATCTTAGTTGCAATAATATTTTAAACGTCTCTGATGATAGCAGTCTATTTATCTCTTTCGATAGTGTTTTATTGGTATTATAATTCATACTCTTAACATTATTAGTTTCTTTATTGATTTCCATTCTTGGCAGCATTGAATTCCTAATTTATTAAATTGATATCTTAAGTACAGCATGAGCATCTCTAGATCTCTTATCTTAGATATCTCTATTCCTAATTGTCTCTTACAAGGCTTCTTCATCACTTGATTTTTCTCTTGTCAAGCTTTCAATGGCATTAAAGATGGCTGCTAAAATAGTATCAGTGTCCTAAAAAAGTAGAGAATATTTCTACTCTAGCATTCTTTGCTTCTGCGTCTTCTTCTGCTTTGATACTCTCCTTAATTGAATCTCTGATTGCTTCCATTTTTTCAATCAAAGTCTGAACAGCAGTTGGTTCCAAAGTGGATGTTAATGCAACCATAGCAGTAATTGGGTTTTCTTCACTTTGACATTACTTAAGATATATACCCAATTTTGGCTAATTAAACTAAAGCTTCATTGATTGCCTCTTCCTCAATGAATGATCCAGCTTTGTGTTATGCAGCTACATCCCAAACTTAATGCAATTTTGGAAGGATAACTTCAAATGCTTGAACCATCTCTTTCATTTAAGTTGTTCTTGTTGAGAAATCTAAATTATCTTATCTTCTAATATCTCTTAAGGTGTCATCCTTAGCTTAGAATACTTTAATTTATCTAGCCTTCTCATTTATCTCTGCTTAATAAACTGCAATGGCTTCATTCAATCTCTTTGCTTTAAACTCTGCATCTTTGATTTCATTAATTGACAAACTGATTCTTTGACCATAATTCTAAAGATCCTTCTTGCATTAAGATCCTATCTATGCTCTTTCATTGTCAGCATCAATTTATTTACCCTATTCAAATCACAAAACAATTGTACTTCCAAATCTCCTTTTAAGTCATTCAGCAATTTGCTTACAGCACTTAAGGATTCATTTCCTTTCAGTTACAAGGCTATTGTCTATAATATCTTTGAACCAAGTGGATGGTCTTAAATCTCTTCTAATTTAGAATATGAGGGATCATCTTAAAGTGTAAGCTTTTTGTGATCTACGATACTCAAACAATTATACTCTTCTCAAAAGCTGAATGTTCTTCATCATTTGAGTGTTTCTTGCATACAATTGGATGTGTAAGCAAGCACAAAGCAATTACTAATGCTACTAAAATTTTCATTAATTTATAAACTAAGCGTTTTTGAATATATAAAATATCCTAGATTAATAAATCAAGAGAATTTATATACAATAGAATTATCAATATAGTATTTATAAAATCACAATCTAATCATTGAATTCCCATAGAGTATTTATCCCATTGGCACTCTTATGCTATTTGATGCATTTCTATTTTGAGATACCTTGAATTAGGCTATATTCTAAGTATATTAAGAAGAGGCAAGAGTATTTTAAACTGAGTGATATTGAACCTACTATTACTGATATTTATTAGAATGATCTTGCAAAATTCTAAAATATTATTATTATTAATTATTTACTTAATTAAATCTTAATTTTATAATTATTATTTCTATTGTTAAACTTGAAAACATTAGTAAGACTGATTCTAACTTAAATTTGTTTAAATCACTTTTTAAGTTGTCGATGAATTCCCTCTTTTCAAAGGAGTTTATCCTTAAGAAACATTTGCTACCTGCTTAATTGGTGTAGATAATAATGAATTGTTTCTAGTTTGCACATTTTATTACTGCTACTCAATTATAATTGGTTTTTGGATAAGAGTTGGTTAAACATACTCTAAACTTTGATCATTTTTTGGTATTTAAATCTATTAACTACCAATAAATGAGGATTTTAGAGGTTTCTCAAAGGATTGATGTAGTGATTAGTAATGTTAAAAATCAGAAGAATTTTATAATCTTGATGCATTGGATACTTTGAATTAAATTGAATGGCTGTTCTAATTTCTAAGTACTTGTTATGAACCATTGATTGAATAACATCTTTATTTTTAAGGAATTTACTCAGCCTTCATTTTTATTTAAGGTTTTTTTTATAATTCCTCGAAACTTTTATCATTGATATTCTCAACTTAATCTAATATTTTATCACCAAAAGTTGCTGTCACCTTCTTCAGAGGTAAACAATTTTCTTTGTACACTGAATTTATTTTACGTAGATTTAGTTTAGGAATTGGTGCTTCTTTCTGAATTTTATCTTTCCAACTATGAGGATTTGGAGCACCATGTTGTAAATTATTTAATCTATAATTAATATCCTATAATGTGGACCTCAGCAGTTCACAACTAAGATCTGACCTATTATAAAATTTGACAATATTACTCTTAACGAATTGACATATAAAATTTATTAATAATATATATTGCTAATTATTACTTTGATATTAATTCTCCTAATGAAATTAATAACAAAGATATTATTGGTTTCCAGCTTAAAATTTGAAAAGTTTAAGCTCTATTAATTTGGCACAATTACAATATAATTTGTAGAGATTTTAAGAACATATCTAAAATAAATGTCAAAAGTTGAATAAAATATGAGAACCTCATAATTTCTTTATTTAGAAATAACAGATTAGAAATCATTTCTCAACGCTACGGATTATAATTTTGTTCTTAATTAACTTTGAGTTTATTAAATTTTCTTATAAAAAATACTGTTAATAGAAAATATAGATATGTACATCAAATTTAGGTTTTATAATATGGAATTACAATTTATTTTTCCTTAAATCGACGATATTATTCTTAAGAGAACCAATGACTTATTCTCCAATAATCTGATTAACTGATTAATAACTGCAGGAAGTTATAATTAAAGACTTCGATAATAATTAAATTTACATGCATCCAAAAGAAAATTGAGGTTTTTATTTTTTGATGTTATTGCTTTATTTGCCTTAAATCCAATTTAGAAATTTATATGAAAATTATCTAAAAAAGGACGGAAAGCCAAAGTTATTTAATTTTAGATATTATAACAAATTTTTCATATTTTTCATATTTTGCATATTTGATTGTTTTAGGTTAAAGTGAAATTGTGACTTGAGTGGCTAAAATTCAAGTTGCTCAATATGATCTTTAATGGAATCTACTATGCAACAAATTTAAATGAAAGTCAAAAGAAGGAAAGTGGTAAAATATAGATGAATTTTTCATAATAAATGGGTATATAAGTATTACTAATTTTTATATTGGATTTTTTTAAATTAATCATTTTTATTATGATCACAAATATCTTATATAATAATCGAAACCCCAACATATTAATTTGAAATTTTTAAATATAAAATCGAACATATATAATAAAGATATTAAATAGATATCATGATATCATTTCTTAGTGTTAATTTTTAAGTATCCTCAAAAGAGACGATAGTTTGTCTTCTATTTTTTCTGTTTTAATATCCTATTTTATGGTTTTAAAATTTTATTTCGTTTGTAAACTTTAAGCCTTGATGCCAGTGTGTTCTTAATTTATGGATAAACTTAGATTGTCAAGAACTATTTATTTAAGTTAGGCATCGACACAATTATTCAAACATTGGATTGTTTAATTTTATTATGAGTATATTATGATATTTCCAGTATTAGTATTCACTAAGATAGTGGCTCCATCCCAAATTATCTTTCTCCTTCTCTTCTTTTGGGCAGTTAAATAATTAGTAGTGTCACTGTAGTAATTTCTTAATATATGTTTGGCAGATGAATATTTAACTTTGTGAATGATGGCTGCCTAAGTGATTATACCAAGATTACTACTTAATAAATAGGTAAGCGATCTTTAACTACACTATATACCAGATTTGCTTTGGTATCTGAATCAATTGGTTTTCTCTTTTTGATTTAATTTGTCTATAGATTGGCTTACTTTATCTGCTTTTCGACCTTTTATCCTTCTTAGAAGTTCATGATTAGACAAATCTGTAAAATAATATTATGTGAAAAAATTAGCATTATTCATTATTAGTATTCGAATAATTAAAATTTGATACACAATACTATAAAAATAAGTGTAATTTTTTATTGATAAATGTATAATTGCAAAGGTTATGGAAGAACCCCATATAAAAATACAAGATATTAAAAAATTAATAAATTAATGATATTAAAAGAATAATTTATTAAAAATAAACATAGTTATTCAACTTACTTCATCTTGAAAACACTCGAATATTAGTTCTCCTTATTCATTTTCATATTCCCTAATCCTATCCTCAGTCTTTAACTCATTCAATTCCAAAGTTTCCGAATTATCAAGCGAAGTGTCCTTTGGATGGAACATATGGGCACATAAGTCTAAAACTGTTTTTTTGTCGATCTCTGCAGCTTCGTTTTCTAATTGAAAAATATATATTATAACTGTACCTGTATTTATAACACTGTAATACTCAACAAATTAGCTTATTCTATCAACAAATCTGCATTCCTCCATTTACTTAGCAAAGTTCTCCTTGCTCAGATAAGACAAACAAATCAGAACATGCATCAAAACTGAAACTTGAATTTAATCTTTGATGAATTTCAATAACTATTCCATCACCTAATGGGCAAATCTTGGCTGATGTTCCAAATACTGCAAAGTATACGGTGTGTGTATGATATTGGCTAAAGTAGCAGAAGCAAAATCAAGGCAAAATACGTGTATCTTCTAATTTACTGACTTTTAAATTAAGTTAATAATCCATTAGATCAATTCATTATGTACATATGTTGGTATGACTGTATCTTTAATGCTTGCCTTCTATAAAATTGCCAAACAAAATCTCTATGTTACCGAACCGTTATCTTGCTCCTTTAAAATTTTAATGACTTTTTCCACAATAATCATATTTCCATTATAAGTCAAATATTCTACACCTCTTAAAGTGCTGCTTATTACACTGATCAAACTTGTTATTGCATGTCTGAGACTTTAGTTGTTGATATCCAATAGATGAACTACAAAATCAAATTTATCAGTAGCTTCAATATTAAACACATCATTCCTGATTAACTCATAGACTAGATTCTTTCGCAATTCAGGTGCAATTTACAAGGCATTTACTCTTAACGAAAGCAATACTTCTATCATACCGTCGACATGCTTATCTTGATAATTCTTAAATAATTTGGTTTTATGTTCGTGCATCACTTGTTCAGTAATCAATTCTGTTCCTTCTGGCTTACCTTCATTGATTATTACTTTGTGATATTTTCCTAGTTGAATTTTATAATTTTCTAAGGTTTCACTAAGATTTTCATTCTTAGCTGTTTCCTTTAAAGAATGCAGTAATTACAATAGGTTAATGCTCACAGAGAATATTTATCTGCCTGCTTATAATATTTATTGGTATTTTTTATTAAATTACTTTTATTCCTTTTCTAAATTGATCTCTCTTTTCGTTTTATTATTATCGCTTTTTAACAATTAGAATATACGAGGCACATCCTCGCCTGTTTATTTAATAACTTATTATTTGTTTAGCATCTAGATGTCAATATTAATTATGTACTTTATTGGAAACCTATTTACTCTTAATCTCTGCTTCAAAGCATTCCAGGGTATTGGAATAATTAGAGTATCTTAAGTACTCCTTAATATATTCATTGATTTCATTACTATCAGGGAGAGAGGACTATCCTGAATTTGAATTTGCACCTCTCATAACAATATTTGAATAAATTATATTACCAAAATTTCCTATAAATTAAATTGTATATATATATATAAGAATAAATTTTATAAAAAAAGATATTTATTTATGCTCTCATTCCATCGTCAAGCTACAAGATAATTGCTCTTGAGTGCTCGAACATGCTTTTCTAGCAAAGGCGACAAGAAACCAAGTCATCCCAAATTTGTATTTGGTGTTCCCAAGGAAACATTTCCTCATGAAAATAGAGTAGCTGCAACACCTGAATCAATAAAAAACTTAGTCAAAGATGGTCATCAAGTACTTATCAATTGTATCTAAATAGGTTCTCGTGGAGACTGGAGCAGGCTTAAAGGCTAATTTCGCAGATAATGTGTATCAAGAAGTTGGAGCAAAATTAGTCGACTCCAAATCAATCTATGACTAATCTGATGTAATCTTAAAAATTAGACCCCCTGAAAATACTAAAGCCTTGAAAGAAAACCAAACACTTGTACTCATTTTTAATAAACTTAGACATCGTTCATCTACCCCGCATAGAATAAAGAATTGCTTAATCAACTATAGGAAAAGAAAATAACAACTTTCGCTATGGAATGTGTTCCCAGAATCACCAGAGCTTAAACATATGATGCCTTAAGCTCTATGGCTAATATTGCAGGATACAAAGCAGTTGTATTGGCAGCGAATGAATTTGGTAGATTCTTTGCAGGTTAAATGACAGCAGCAGGAAAAGTACCACCTGCTAAGGTTTTGGTTATTGGAGCAGGAGTGGCTGGTTTATCAGCTATTGTTACTGCTAAGAATATGGGAGCTATTGTTAGAGCCTTTGATACTAGATTAGCAACTAAAGAATAAGTAAAATCTTGTGGAGCTGAGTTTTTGGAAGTCAAAATCAATGGTGAAGTAGTTGATGGTGCAGGTATCGGTGGATATGCTAAGGAAATGGGAAAAGAATATTTAGAGGCAGAATTAGCTTTATTCTTAAAGTAAGCCAAAGAAGTTGACATCATTATTACTACTGCACTTATCCCAGGAAGACCAGCACCAAAATTATTATCAAAAGAATTAGTAGAAAATATGAAATAAGGATCAATTATTGTTGATTTGGCCGCTGAAACAGGAGGAAACTGTGAATTATGTAAACCAGGAGAATTATACAATCACGAAGGAAAAGTGAAGATCATTGGATACACTGATTTACCAAGCAGATTACCTACTCAAAGTTCAACATTGTATGCTAATAACATTGGAAAATTGATGTAATACATTGTAGGAACAATCAAAGATCCAAATGGAAAAATGACACAAGTGGATTTGAATGATGATGTGGTTAGATAATCATTAGTAACATTAAATGGAGAATTGAAATGGCCACCTCCTCCCATCATTACATCAAAGAGTGAACTCTAATAAGCTGATACATCAAAAGCTGCATCAGCTCATAAAAAATAAGAAGTCAAAGTAGATCCTTACAAATAAGCTTGGAAGAATGTGATTAATACATCAGCATCTCTTATGGCAATGATGGCTTTAGGTTATCAATCTCCTAATATGGAATTCTTAAAAATGTTGAATACTTTTGCTTTGGCAGGAATTGTTGGCTACTAAGTTGTTTGGGGTGTAACTCCAGCTTTACATTCACCATTGATGTCAGTTACAAATGCAGTATCTGGTATAATTATAGTTGGTGGTATGGAATTGATGGATGGCAAGTATTTACCAGGATCTTTGACTGGAGTATTGGCAGCTGTTTCTGTTGCCATAGCTTCCCTGAACATTTCTGGTGGTTTCTTAGTCACATAAAGAATGTTAAATATGTTTAGAAGACCAACTGACCCTGCTGAATACAATTATTTAATGGCATTAGCAGGTGCTACAGGAGTACTTGGATATTATGGTGGACTCTATTATGGAATACCAAAAGAACCATTGACAAATCTATCATATTTAGCTTCATCAATTGCTTGTATTTTAGCTATTGGTGGATTAGCATAATAATAGACAGCTAGAATTGGTAATAGTTTTGGTTGTTTGGGAGTTGGATTGGGTGTTGCTGCCACTCTAGGATATAAGGGATATTCTCCAGAATTATTGGCTTAATGGGCATCAATGGTTATGTTGGGAGCTACCATTGGAGGTACAGTTGCTACCAGAGTTGCAATCACTGATTTACCATAATTAGTTGCTTGTTTCCATTCCTTTGTTGGTTTGGCAGCAGTCCTAACTTCTATTGGTAATTATTTACATGTATTCCCTCATTTGGCTGAAGATCCAGCTGCACTTGTTCATAAATTATCAATCTTCTTTGGTATTTTCACAGGTGGTATCACATTTACAGGATCACTCATTGCCTTTGCTAAATTGTAAAATCTCTTGCCTTCAAATCCAACCGTTATTCCTTATCACAATTAAGTAAATATTGCATTGGCAGCCTTATCTGTTGCATCTTTATTAATCTATAATCAAACAGGCAGTTTTGCTGTTGGAATGACAGCATTATTAACAGCAACAGCTGCAAGCAAAGTGTTAGGAGTTACATTAACAAATGCTATTGGTGGTGCTGATATGCCAGTTGTAATTACAGTTTTGAATTCATATTCAGGATGGGCATTATGTGCTGAAGGTTTTATGTTGGATAATCCATTATTAACTATTGTTGGAGCATTGGTTGGATCATCAGGTGCTATTCTCTCTTACATTATGTGCAAGGCTATGAATAGAAATTTAACAAGTGTTATTTTCGGAGGATTCGATGTCAATCCTGCAGCCATTTAAGCTACTAAAGTTGAAGGTACTCACACTGAAATCAATGTTGAATAAGCCGTTGAAATGATGGTTAACAGTAAATCAATTATCATTGTTCCTGGATATGGTTTGGCAGTTGCTAAAGCCTAATATCCAGTTGCTGATATGTGCAAGACACTTATTGACTAAGGAATCAAAGTCAGATTTGGTATTCATCCAGTTGCTGGTAGAATGCCTGGATAATTGAATGTCTTATTGGCTGAAGCTGGTATTCCATATGATATTGTATTCGAAATGGATGAAATTAATGATGACTTCCCTGATACTGATCTTGCTGTTGTTATTGGAGCTAATGACACTGTCAATTCAGCTGCTGAAGAAAATCCAAATTCACCAATTGCAGGTATTTTATTCATTTAAACTATTTAGGTATGCCTGTATTGAGAGTCTGGGCTGCTAAATAATCAATTGTTATGAAGAGATCCATGGGTGTTGGATATGCTGCCATTGACAATCCAGTATTCTATAAGCCAAATAATAATATGTTATTGGGTGATGCTAAGAAAACTTGCGATGAACTTACCTCAAAGATTAAAGATCATTTTAAATGATGATTTAATTCTGTTGTACAATTTCATATAAATATTAAAAATACAATTCATTTTATCAAATTTGTTAATTTATCAATTAATTCTTGATTTTGACTTTCAGAGTATGCTTTAGCTACCAAGACATTGAGAGTCTAATTTGGTAATCTATCCTTCACTTACATCAACTCAATCACGTATAAAATTAGATCATCTCCTGACAATTACATTTCATATATATCTTATTCCAATTTGGAATATAATTGTTATGATCCTAATTATTTTCTAGCCATAGATACATAGATAGACATCATGTTTTCAATTCTAATGTGTGAATTAATAATATAGTATTCTATTTCTGCTTCGCATAATTCTAATGAAGCAACATTTTATTGGGTTATAACTTGTAATGATTATGTGAATAGATCTTCATTTATAGTTTTTAATTATTTTCTAAATTATTCAATAAAATCATTCCAAAACTCAACATTACCATTATTTGTCAATCCCATTCCTGTTGCTATGCGCATATAAGAATGAAAGTCCTTTTCCAATTTTAGGCAATGTGAGGCTATATCATCCCACAATTACTTGTCCTTATATTATCCCAATGCTAAACCAATACAGGCTGCACCCAATTACTCTGCATTTGTTTTGGTTACATCAAATTCATTAACAAATTTATTCATTATTTGTATGTTCTAATAGTCATAAAAAGCAACCATCTTGCCCATGATTGACAATCCCATTGCATATTATTGGCAACTCTCAATAATTTATTCTATTTCTTTGACTTACTCCTTAGATAAATTTGAAGTTGGTAAAATTATTTTATCTAAGAGCTAATATCTGATTTGCTAATCTTCAACATTCTTGATAGCTGTCAATAAATAGTCGGTATTGTCATCATCCACTAATTGGTCGTGCTTCATTAGATCTACGACACTATTTAATTGTTCTCCATTTAATTATGTGAATTGTTGTCTTGTATCCAAAATCAACTATTTGAACTCTCTCAATCAAAATTATTCGATACCTTAACAACTTATATCATGTTTCCCTTTGAATTTCATTAACTATTCTAACCTTGAACTTCTCATAACTAGCTTCATAAAATTTCGCAGCATTTAAAATAAAAATAGTACCAGAAATATAATTTATAAACATACTTAAATACTAGGTTTTGTTAGATAATACTTAATTAATTCAAACTCCAAACTCTTAATGATTATCAAGGAGTTCAACAATGAATCCAAAAATTTGGGGAATTGCTAAAATTGCTTTCATCTAATAATATATTTTTATTTAGTTGTATAGGAATTATTTATAGCGCTTCTTTGAATCCTGTAAATAAATTCAAATAATTCGCAGGCTTCAACTAGAATGAGCAGTCAAGAACAGCATAACTAAGCAATCAATGAAAATGAAATCGCATATGATTCAAACCAAGCTACAAGCAAGAAAGCTCTTAAGCAAAAGAAACTAGACAACAAATAGGAACCAAAAAAGCCGATTGATGGAAAACAGTAGTTTGGTGATAAGTCTATATGTCGACTCTGCTAGGTATCAACAAAGTCTACACTTACTATTATTTGCATTCGTTGTCATTTCAAATATCATCAGGAATGCATACGCAAATAAAACAAAGAACCTCAATTTGAAGATGGAATAAAATGGCATTGTTTGTCTTGTATCGACAGGATAGCAAAGAGAAAGCTTAAGGAATCGAAACCCTCAAAAAAGAAACAATGCAACCAAATACAGGATTTCTTTTAAAAAACAGTTCAACCCTAGGAAGACAAAATCAAGAAGCTTACTGAATTTCAATTGCTTTATCCAACCTACATTTAATAAGGCAGAGTCATCTTTCCTATTTTGGATGAATATTTGACAGCCTATCAAGGATTGTTTAACATTGAGCCCAAAAAGAAACCCGCCCTTCACGTTGACCCGGCAATTCCATAAGAAATTTTTGAAGATGTGCTCAAAATTTGGGACGCTTACAATAACATGAACAAAATCATAAGTGACATTCTTCAGGAACAATAGATAGAAAGTATGTATCTCTTCCATATATGTTTAGCATAATAACAGTCAAATAATATTGGTACCTTGATTCACTTTCAAGATAATCATACATTATATAATAAAAAATCAAGAATAGAAATCTATGATACTCTATAACATAATCCGCAAGAATTAATCTTATTTTTTTGTTATTTCTACTTAAAATAAATAATTGAAGATTTAGATATAGAATAAATGCAAAAATAACAATATGTATTGTATATGTAATATAAAAGAAAATACCCTATTGGCAGCTCATGGGATATATGTGGTATACAAATAGATAGAGGTACTATCAATTGCTAAGGGACGATGTAAAATCCTTACCAACAAATATTTTTAAATAAGGAATTCTACATCTTCCAGATTATTTGATTGATTTTGGCAACTATAAAAATGTAAACAAACTGGCAAAGTTAGTGATAGCTTTGGCTGATGGAATAGAATCTTTAAAGAGAACATAATTTCTATACTAATACAGAACTGAGAACATACTCTCCAATAATAGGATGAAAACCTAATTAGGAATGCAGATCAAGGAGTAAAGAAGTAAATAGATGGAAATTAATAAGGAAATAATAGAATCTGAAGGCAATTATCAAATGGCAAAAGTAAAGTGTGTGGTTAATTTTTAGTCCAAATTATTAGAAGATGGGTTAAGTAGAGCAGAAACATAAAAATTTATCAAACAAAAGGAAACTACACAGAAACAATGTCAAAAATTAAAATACTAATTTCAAAAAATAGAAAAGGAAATAGATAACTTAACTGAGAGATATCATTAATAAGAGAAAGTATTGCTATTTTCATATAATTAAGGAATTGGCAATCATATAAATTTCGTCTTTGGTATTAAACCCTTCGGTGTTCTTAGGATATGATAGCAGGAATAGTTCATACTATTTCTTTCTTTGGGAATCAGACAAAATATTTGCTTGTATGAGAAATTCGATTATTGATGATGAGGTTTGTTAGTGGGGTTACTATGATCTAAAGGATGTTAACGTATTAATGGAAGTACTTTGTGAGAAGGGAGTTAAAGAAAATTCATTAAGAAATAACATTTTGGAATTATAAAGAGCAAAACTATTGATAGTTTAGTAGAAGAAAGAAGAGGAAGAAGAAAAGGAAGATAAATTGAAGAACTCAGAGAACAATAGTGAGATTGATGTTGCACAAAACAATAGTAGCAATGTAAAGAATTAGAAAGTCAATAGTCTAGAGAACTTAGACATTGATATATTAATATAGGAATTTTTAAATATTGAAAGTATGTTGACTGAGTATCTAAATCAAAGGAACTCAAGATGGTGCAGCAGTGAAATTAGAAACTCGTTTTTAAAGAGTTTCTAGAATGTTATTAAAATAAGATTAGACAGAAATTATAATGAATAGGACCTAGCTCCTTTTTGTAGAGCAATTGAATATTTTGTTGATAATACTATGATGTAAGAAAAATTAGAATTAAGACCTGAAGAGGATATAAATGGAGATGAAAAACTTTAATTAAATAATGAAGATGAATCATATTAGCAATAGAATAGAAGAAGGAAAGTTGTGGAAGACGATTCATCTGCTGAATAACCAATATAAACTGCAATTTAATAATTAGAATAATTAGATATCGGAAAAGTGAGAGTTAGAAAATTGCCAATGAAATTGTTTGGCACATATTATGAAACATTGAGATTGAATTTAATAGAATAATTAAAATAAGATTGCAATCTAGTCAAATTGAAGATATGTTTAGAAGTTCTTGGTTAAATAGTGTAAGACTACATAAATAGAAAAATTACACAATAAGTAGTGACATAAATACCAGAGAAAAAGAAAGTAGAGGAAGTGCAATTAAACAAATAAGTTCAAATTGAACCTGCAGTGGTAGAACCTGAAATTAAAGTGTAAAGCCTAAGGTAGAGAGTGAAGACTTAGTCACAATCAATTTATTCGGAGAGTAGATGGGAGGATAGATGCAATTAATGTGGGTAAGGGGGCAAAGTCATTTGTTGTGACACTTGTCCTAAAGTATTTCACACTAAGTGTTTAGGACTGAAGGAGATACCAAAAGGAAAGTGGAATTGCTTGGTTTGTTTAAGTAATTTCGAGAGACAAGTCAAAACAAGAGCAACTATAAAAAAATTAGAAAATAATTGAACCATCGTTTTTATTATTATTAAATAATGATTTGTGATATAATTGATATTCCACTCCGTACACCTTCTTCAAAAGATAGAATTTCATTTGCTAATACTACGGCTTCTCCTGCTAGTTCTAGTGATTCATCATTTGAATCCAAATAAATTCCTAACTTGCAAATTCCCAGACCATTATTAAGTCAAGATGAAAAATTTGAAGCATCCTTATGCTCCTTTGGTATTGTGTTTTACATATGAGACTTTAAACTATTAATGCCTGATGAAGGAAGTCTATTCAATTAAAAGTTACTTATCTAAGAACTTTTCGAAATGAGGTTTATATTAGATTAAGATGAAAGACAAATTTACTAAAAGCTACAACCCTTTTATTACAGTTTAGAAATTTGCGAGGAAAATGTAGTTTTTGTTGTTCCTTATTGTAGATACTTAGTGATGATAGAACTACTTTGATGCTTAAGAATATTCCTAAATACATGAGACCAAGTGATCTGAGGAATCTCTTAGACAAAGACTTTAAGTCTTAATTTGATTTTCTCTATTTGCCATCTGATAATAATGTAAATAGCCCAATGCTATAATTAGAAAGAAGGCAATTTAGGCTATGCATTTGTTAATTTCCTTTATCCAGAAACTGTCTTATAATTCTTTAAGAAATACAATAATAACAAATGGAGTATAAATGATAAAGTAGACAAAGATATTTATTATAAAAGCAAATCTGCCAATTGAAGTATGCAAAATTACAAGGGAGAAGAGATCTTATGAACTAGATAGATGAATGACTCCATTTATAAAGAAATTTTGATGATTTTTTGTTTTGTTCAAATTTTGAGAGTAAACAACCTTACCCATAGTTTAATTAGTTAAATTTATATTTAACAATAATCAATTTATTAATTATTTATAATCATCTTAAACTATGAATAGGATGAAAAAATTAATATAGTAAAAAGGTTTTCTACCTGCTAAACCTTCGCAAAATGATTTGTTGAATGAAGCAAGACAAGCCTTTTTAAAAAAGCAGAGAACTTAAAAAGAATAAGAACAAATTGAATTATTTATGCTATCATTAAGTTTCGTATAAAAATTGAAAGCTCAATATGGACCTCTTATTGTAGCTGATTTATGTAAAAACATATCTTATTTGAGAATCCCTGCAGGTACTCAAAGTAAATATCTTATAAAAAATATAGTTATCCAAATTAATAAGGAAAACAGAACTTTTTATGTCATCCTGTCTGGCAAAGTAAGCATTAGCATCTATGTTCAAAAAGGCTTACGGAGAACCTCCATGAAAATCAATTAAAATAACAACATTACTCAGCAAACTAGTGTATAATAAATTCAATAATCTTCAACCCCAGGAGCAATTCACCAATAACCAACTATAAAGGGAGATGAGGACTAATTCAGCCTCCAAGAAATCAAAACACTTGAATAAGGTGACTCCTTTGGTGAATTGGCCTTGATAAAAGATAATCTAAAAGCGACAGCAACAGTCACAACTAAAACAGATTGTGAGTTTGGCTGTTTGACAAGAAAACAATATATAGACATCTTAGGCAAAATCAGTAAAGTTATTATTATATTGAGTTTAGAATCTACATCATGAGAAATTAGTATTTCTCTAAACAATTCCTCCACTAAAACTTTGGAATGATGAAGATCTTAAATAATTGTCTTACTATTTAGTTTTGAAACATTATGTAAGAAATTAAATATCAGTTAAAGAAGGAGCCGACAATTCTTAAATTTTTGTTGTCAAATATGGAGTATTTCATGTTGTTAAACAATATCAAGGATAATAATTAATTTTAAGTGAACTCTAAGAATCAGAAATCTTTTATTAGCAACCCAACGAATTGAAATACTCATTTTCTCTTCGTTGTGCATCAGATGGATCCAGTTTGTATGAATTCTCACACTACGATTTTAAGAAATATGCAGAAAATAATAATTTAGAGGATTTCATTAGTTTAGAAAAACAAAAATAAACCTGGAGAATGAAAAAGTTTGAAGAAAGAGTCTTTGATGTTAGAGATGTACATCATTAGGAAATTGAACTTATTGAGACTAAAATAGAATTTAAGAAAACAATTAAATTATATGAAGATCTTAAAATTAGGTGCAAATCTGCTAAGAGAAAAAAGACACCCATTTAAACTGAAGAAAATGCCTTCTAAAAAACTCAAAGATAAGCTTAAATGGCTCTAAAGAAAAATCAAATCCTTAGATTTGGGGATGATTCGAGTGAAAACTCATTCACTCTTCCTGCTATAAGAAGCACTTCAAGAAAAAAGATATATGTTGATTTGATTGACACAGAAAAGAGTTTTGAAACACTTGATCAATACAAAATTGGAGACAGTGAAAAATACTAATTGTATTTTGACCATTCACATCCTTGGAGAAACTTAAACAACAAAAAACAAATTTATTATTGATAATTAGTATCTCAACTTATTTTGAATTTTGTTCAATATATTAATCTCTTAATTTAAACTTTAATGTTATTATAGATTACATTACTGTTTTTCTCTTCTTTTTATTTATAAGTACATTATATTTCTAATGAATTAGACCTTACATTAAATTTGCTATATATAACCGATTTATAATAATTATAAAATAAATAATAGGCTAAGCTTCTTATTGTATTTACTGTTTTGTTTAAAATTGTTGATTATTTTAAACACCAAAAACCTAAAGTTCGTGTCTCTTAAATTCAATTATTATTATCAATTATCATTAATTGATGTGTATGCCTTAAATCATATTATTTATATTATGCAATCAACAATATTAATAATATATTTTACTCCATTTTGTTATTCTCAGCTTATAATTCATAAGTAGTTTCTATTATTTAAACTAACAATTTGATCCAACATTATTATGTAATATTGAATCATTTATAACTACTCTGTCTTTTGTAGTTTAATTGTTATAGTATATTTTTAATATATCATCTCTTATTCACAACATAGTTTGTTTTTTATGGATTTCTGTATATAGCATAGTTCTTAATTTCTGAAATACATGATTATTAATACATAAACTTAAGTTTAATAGATTGATTATTATTTACTAAAAATTAATGAATTTAATTGATTCTTTATTGAATGATTTCTAATAACTTTTGAATGATTAAAAGAGAAATAAGGTTTAGAAGCCTCTGATTTAGGGAATAATAGACTCTATCAAAAAGAATAAGTCTTTATAAAAATTACCAACCTAAGAAATCATTCAAATTTTTGCTATGCTTCCTGAGAGCAAAACTAATTAAACATCGGAAATTACTCTTAACATTACTCTAAAACTATTCAACTCATATTTATTGTTTAAAGTAAATCAATTTCTATTTTAGACAGACCTTCATCCGATATTACATTACTTCTATTTGATTAAAGATGAAATAAATGAAAATGTGCAATTAAAATTGGTACAATGCAGTGTACATTTAATTAATAATGAAATAGTAAATATTAATCAGCCTGAAGACATAGAGAAAGTAATAGTGATTTTAAAAGTAGCTAATGTTAATATTTTTCACCTTGGTAAATGCAAGAAATCCAATCATACAAACAACAGCAATAACAGGTTTGATGGAAATCTTAGATTATCTGTGTAGACAATACAGTGATTAGCCTAATAAAAATGGGGCTACGATATTTGCGCAACTTATCCAAGGAATGAAAGGACAGAAGGTCCCTTTCATTATATAGAATGAGTTTTCTAAAGGAATCTGTAGAGATATGCTATCATAGATCATAACAAATTTGGGATCTTTTATAAATAAGGACGAATAGGTTAACAAATTAATCTAAGATTTTTCAGTTATTATTTATGAAGAGATGAGTTTGGATTCTGCAGATGTTTAATTCAGTATTGTCATTTTTAATCATAGATGCAAGAAGAATTAGGGATTCATTCGGTATGATAGTCACCTTACAAAGAGACATATCCCTAATTAAACATATTAGTCTACTATTCACTAGATCTCCTTCGTACGGTTACGTAAGATATTGGATCTTGGAAGGGATTCTGACTATACTACAAGATCCTAAATTAGTGCTGCTACTATCCTAAGGGTCTCTATAAGAAGAACATTAATAGTAATAATCTACTTTGTTATAACACTTAACTTTTATTATCAAATTGTCAACAGAATAGGAACCTTAATACACAATAAATTAAACTCATTAATAATAAGCATATGCAAAGTTTAAGAATTTATATTAATAAAATATACTCAACTTAACAGAGATTCCATGTTACAATAAAACATTATTCACTAAAAAATCAGGTATAATAGCAAATTTTATAAATAGTTGAATGTATTTTTCATCTAACTGATTCGATTCAAAAGATTTAATTGTAAAAAGGTATTGTATTATTCCTTTAGAATTACTAATAGTTTTAATCAAAAATAATAATAGATGAAAATTGCAAGGAGCTTAATTCAATAATTGAGTAAACGCAATAGTTAATATTAAAATCAATTTCAAACATAATGGTAAATCTGAATGACGAAATCCAGTTTTAAACTCTTTTAAATTCTCTATAAAGTTGGATTGAATTATCCAGTTCTTTAGGCTAAATTAAAACTAGAGAAACCTTCATTAAATATTTAAGTAGTCTTTGTATTGGCAAATAAAACGCTACTCTAACAAAGAGCCAGTTATAAAGTGCAAAAATCTTATTCAAAATTGCACAAAACGGAAGTAAATGTGCCTAATTAAATTTTTAGATTTCTTAGACATTAAATCCTGGTATATAATAATGAAGACTATGCAATAATTTGAGGAACAAATTTAAAAATCGTAAGCCTAGAATGCAATTTCATAAGAATTAAATCCTGAAGTTTTTTAGTAAGAAATAGCTTTGTTAAACAATACCTGCGAAGGTTTATTCGCATCTAGTAACTTATATGAAGACTCCCATTTACTTTCGATGATTGAAGCAATAAATTAAGTTACCTTGAGTCTAATGGAGTAA